TTGAAAGTCGCCATTTTACACTAAGGCTCGTTCGATTACCTTAATTTCTTTTTCAATAAAATGCGGTCTTGCACAACCCGATTTCATTTTTCACGAGATAAAAGCGGGGAACGAAAGGACGAGACTTCTTCCATTATGACTACTCTAATATAAACAAATCTAATGATAGGCAATATCGTTGATTTAAGACCATTAACAGTTATATTAGTTAGTCAGTGAAATGAGGTAGCTGGTGTGAAACTAAAAGAGAACGGACAAATGAATTAAAACTGAAGCCGGGAAAACAGACGTGTAGACGGAGTGCGTCCCGCATCGACACAACTTCAGTAGAAGCCGACTGACTTTCTGTTAATAGAAAATGATTTCGTGAGTCGGGCTCAGTTTCAGTTTCATCTAAGCCTCATGAGAGAATAAGACTTACACTACAGTGTCTATGAATTCTGTATACCTTTGAACTTTTTCTGTTAATAGTACGAAATTGCTTCCCTACGGTCGCGATTGAAAACAACACGCAACATCTTTGCATAATTATAGGATGACTACGATATATACCAAAGGGATAATAGATGCAAATAGTTTTTTTCTTTAATACAATCGCTCCTCGGCGTTTAACGAAAAATATAGGCACAATGTATTAATCAAGCAACCTACGAACATCTATTATTTGTCGAACATATCATAACAATTACTTAAAACGGTCTTGTCTGATACGGGATAAGAACTACTAACCGAACCTCAAGAGGGTACCCAGTAGAAATTTCATAAAAATAGGGTAACTAAGAGCTCAAATCAAATCTAAAGCGTTATTTCTAAATACCAGTAACATAATGCACTTAGGAACACTTGATAATGAGCGCAGAAGAATATATGAGCACGGATATGAAGAAAACATTTCCAACTGGCGGAGCTTTTTACAACTATCGAGTTGCCAGCGGTTTCCTTAAAGCTTTGCCACAAATTTCGTATGATCTTGCTTCAACATATCACGTTATTGATGCAACTGCTTCATTGTATTCAACACGCATCACTTCTTCCTTACTCCGTACTCCATAATTATGACAAGAACTATTCAATCATACTATGACTCGCTCCGTTTGCCATGGCTCCTTTGCTAAACCCAGTGCTGCCTGCGAACCAATTCTTTTATGACCCAGCGTTAGATGGTTGCATCTCAATGTCATTTAATGAAGGTGACTATTGATCATTGTTCCCGCTACAGCGCACCGGGTAATCAATGTGTGTGCCTGTTGATTAGAGAGATACGTGCTGATGGTCTAAGTACGAATTTGGATATAGAAACACTTCCTTTCGTGCTAAGAGTCAGCCGTCTGAAAAAAATGTCTTACTGCTTGAGTACCGAACGTGAAGCGCGCAAGCATTTCCACAACTAGTCAGCACAGAAACTGCATACAATAACAGGCGACTTCACAGGCGAGACAGTTTTAGTCGTGGTCTTGACTGAGTAACTTTTAGATAGCAATTCATTAATATGTTTACGTAATTTATATGTTTATTTAAACATATAAATAAATATAAAAAAAAGGTCATCTATCATATATATCCTGGTGTACTTAACATGGTTCTTTCTTTCATGAAAATCTATAAATGAATTAACTTGCTTCTTCCAATATGAGAAGACTTACTTGATATAAAACCTATGAAGACCTGTTTGCAAATGGAAATACCCACTGTCGTTTCGGCTCACTGATTATTTGCCCTTTGGCGTACCGAGTAACCCTTAGCATATCTGTTGCAGATACGTGACAATGGAATTTTCTCGCGTCGTTCTTGGTTAACACGTTTTATCGTAAGTTACTGTTCTCAAGTCATAATATGGCCCGGGAAATTACCCAAGTTGATAAAAAAAAAGGTATATTATCAAGATAGGTTGCTCAAGATACACGTTGTGTTGGGACTGGCCTTAAATAGGCCTACGAAACGAAGTCGTAAACAAGCAAATCCGCAAATCTGCTAAATAAATGCAGTAAAACTTGATCGAAATAACTCTACAACAGAGTTACGTGACTCAGCTAAAAGAGATTATAAAAGACATTCCTTTGGCTAATAGAAACTATTTATTGACTTCGTGCTCTTTCAATTAACTAACCAATTTAAACTGTATCTCTCAATCATTAATAGTGTTTTTTTTGTGTATAAGTAGATCTTCCGGCCCTATTTCTATCCAGCAGTAATAGAGGAGCCTGATTTTTTTTTATTCCCGAATTATAGAGAGACGAATTTTCCGTTGTCTGAAAAACTTAACTGTTAAAAACGGTCTCCTGCTCTTATAGCTAGGTTCGAAACAGTAACAGACGCAACATCTGAGCAAACATGAACTGCATCCCGGTTTGAGAGGTCTCAGCCTTTTTTGCCACCGGTCCTGCGTTCTGTTCTATGATTTCGTCTTAGTTCTGAATATATTCATTGTTTGAAGCTCTCGGCGTCTCGATCCCACCTACATCCACTCCAATCATCTTCGAACTTAGAATCAGTTGATCGCACTCGCTGGGTCCACAAATAAATAGCTCAATAAACAAGGGCAATCGCTTAGGCCCCATTGGTGAAACATGCGAGATCAGCAGATGGTTAATTAGTCGAGGACATATTAATATTTTTGCCAATGGCGGCAAAGCCGCAACAGAATGCGACATATTGCTGTTAATCTCTAATGTCACTATGATCATCCTGAATCAAACTCAGAACGGTGCAGCTTAGTGATTCCGGGCTGATTCTGTTACAAATCACCTGGGCAGACATTTTCTCGTTGACGTATGATTTAACATAGCTGGAGCAAATACCTGTTATAATCTATATTTATTGGCCATCAGTTTTGCCTTCTTTATTACTGCGTAGACATGTAATATGGCGTCTGAATACACACAGTTATATATCCTTTCAAAGCTTTCACCTGGCATCAAAACTGCAGGACCAAAGCCCATGCTATCAATACAGATTATACTGAATAATAGCAAACGGTGCCCAACACTTGCGCAAGATCTGAGCCGATTCTGATAAAGCTAGCAATCAGCTGATTTTCAAGGTCTTGCTTGATCAAAAAGAACATATCAGCACAGATACGAGCATTTACGATTGCATAACACCTAGCCTAGGTGAAAATTATATGTTGCCTAAGACTAGGGTGATTACACCCCACCGCAACCAGTCTTTCAATAAATTAAGCTAAGTATTTCCGTGATGCTTCGAGGAGGTTCTTGATAAAAAAAAAAATACACTATTCATTAAACATATTGGAACAACCAGTGCACACAAATTGATTGAAAGTCTTTCCAACAATCTCGTAGTAACCTTAAACTAATACATATATCACAATTTGTGTAGAATTATCGTTCGCTGTCGTAACATCTGGACCGCTTCCGACGACTATGGCTACGCGAATTATATCATAGTCGTAATACACGGGCGAGTTGTCATTCCACGCTTAAACTTTAAAGCTGCCCAGAATAGGACAATGTGGGAATAAATATTCGGTGAAATACGAAAAGTGAACCTAACACGACTTTATTTGTCGTCTTGAAATTCCTATTTGCGGTACATTTAAATGGTCTTTTTTCCAGTCCATTAAACAGTTAATCATTCTCTACCCATAGCTTCTGTTGCATGTAGCAAGAAACATTACCAACGCGGAACAGCATTGTCTATCTTGAAATATGCGTATCTATACTCACGACGTATTTACGAAAGTTGGGTATGCGTCGATTGCTCAGCGTGTTCATTTACTTCAACACTGAGCGGCATCGAACCGTGACTGCTGAGGTATATAGATATGTACTGTGAGGGTATATAGATTCATAACGTCTTACTATTCATCAGTATCGCATAAGCTGTTTGAAGAATACTGGTTCCACCAGGCCGTTATTTTTCCATGGTAAAGTATTTATATACTTAAGCAACTAAAAACATGCCTGCAGTATTAATGAAACGAATGTTTTTAGCAATAAACCCATTAGGTGAACTCTTCCCTAGTTATTACGCTCAGGTTATTAGCCGGGTAACTAACACGCGGTAACTTTAGCGCCCGTCGTGTCCTTTAGCGTAGGCCGACGGCGTTAGCAGCCAATAACCGGTGGCTGCATGGATAGTGCATTGCGGCGTTTGCAGTAGCGGCGACAGTGCTAGCCTACGATTCATCATTTTTCTCTACTATCTAGGTATTATTAATAGCGCGTAGACAATTATACTTTGGCCGCTTTGCTTACCACGCGCTTTTCTTTACGTTCATACTGTCTTATTTTACCTACCGAGATCGACCGGTCTCCAGCGCATCCTGCGAGCCTTCTTGCCGCCCATGTTTCGCCTAGCTGTTGACAACTGTTGCTTCTGACTTCGGAATCAAACGTTCTAATGTAACAACATCAACAGTGATACAGGCTTAGTCACGAACATACACACACACACAGTAAATATGATCCACTGAAACACTGTGAAAAGGAAGGACGAAAAGTAGTCTTGTGTACCGTTTGTGTCAATGTTTTAATCCCAATAAGCTGAGTCGCGCACAACGAGAAGCAGATTACCTCACAGACTTTACTCTGCTTATCTTATCCTCACTCACTCACTCAAAAGAGGGATGATCACCTCAATGACCACCCGAGGCCATACATACACCCCCGCTACGTATAAACCCCAGTAGCTGACCGACCGTTTGTACTCGCAACAGGAAATTGTTCTTACCGGAGCATAATTAGCGGCGGCGGCGCGGTGAACTGGCAATAGCAAGAAAGGACCTTGATTGTACACGCAGAGAACAAAGCCTTTGAGCGAATAGTACGAATATGAATTAGATCGAACACCAAGCGCGGGCCTGTTTTCCTCTGTGGGGTGTGTATGCTTACTTTGCGAAAGAACGACCTACATAGACGATTGTATTCTATGGCAATATTACGCGAGTGGATCAGCACGAAATTCTTATGCACAGAAAATAAAAAGTAACAGACAGACGCAGAAACACACAAACAAACGCACATGGAGCACACGTCAAACTTCACCCGGCAAAGGAACGCACCAGGGGCTGCTGGTCCCTTTTTTACTCTCCCAAGCGCGGCAGCAGCAGCTGTAACGGGAGTACCTTGAAATTGGTTGATCAGTAGTCCGGTGATGCTAGTCGCCGCGCGTGCTTGTTGCTCGAACTTAGCTCAGCACTGCTTCCACAGAGAGAAACACACGGACAAGCCACACATATTCACACGTTCCCTGTATCACTACTCAGTAGATGTATATCGGCAACGATAATAACAGCTGGCACAATCACAACGTGCGGGGAACGTTTCTTTGCGACTTCCTTCTGCTGTTGCTTCACCTACTAGTGTCTCGTTTGACTGGCGACGTTCGAACCCGATGATCGCGCGACAGCGGTACAGTCGTCTTCCGTCGTCCTGTCGTCTGTGTCGTTTTGTACTACAGCTACAGAGTCGATATTAAAGGTGACAGTAGCAGCAGCACTAGCAATTGTAGTTATAATGTATCATGAAGATCGACTGTAGCTGCTCCTGTAGCAGCGGAGGCGATAGCGTCGGCGGCGGCGGACGACCTCCACGCGAACCAGCTCACGACGCGTTTGTTACCGCTGTTATTGCTGTGACCGTGTTTGTCTCATTGGCTAGTGCGGTCAGTTTCGACAAATGTCCGACGCCTGTCGGGCAGCAGTAAACGCCAGGGCAGATGGGTGCTGACTTACGTTGTCAGGCGGACAACTGACCGAAGCAAAGTCAAGCTACAAAGGAAAGTCAGTGAGAACGACAAGTACTACTCATAGCACCGCGGTGGCAGCACCAGCGACGATACCGAGGGCAGCAGCACCACTTCTCGGTGCGACTGCAGCACTTCGTCCATCGCTCAGCTTGAATAGATCTGTACGGCCTATAATTTTCAGTGTAGGCTTTCCTTCATTGCCTTTTCGATCGACCACTAGCGCTGGTGTTGCCTACGTCTGTCCTGTAGTAACACCAAAAATTAGATACATTTTTAGAGAGAACGACGGAGGATGCCGCCAGCAGCGGCACAAGCGACACGGCTACGACAACGCTGGTAACAACGGGCAACCATGGAAACGCTCGGTAGCCGCGCTCCTAGGGGCCTCTGCCTAACAGTCTGCCGCAGAAATCATTACCGCCACAATTTGGTCTTAGTCAACAGACAGAGAGCCCCTCACTACTATGATTAATACAACTACTACTAGTAGTACGACTGTTGCCGTTGTCATTATTGCGGTTAGCGCATATTCAGGCCACGGAGGTGGTCTGTAGTTGACGGCCGCCCGTTATTCGCGGTAGCTCGTTACTATCGGCGCAACGCGGTCCTACTGACGATGGTCGAAGGTGACATGCCGTTGCTGTCTAGTGATGGCTACTCTATTATATCAATATATAGCTTGAGTTCTTAAAAGATGTACACACACACACACACACACATATATAATGTGCCACCTCACAGTATGCAGCTATATATATATGCATTTGTTACCAATAAATATTGGCGTAAGGGTATGTGCTATGAAATGTCTTTCTTTCTCCATATATCTCTCGACCGTTTTTTACCCTTCCTATATACGGCTGTATCAAAACAATCAGTTTCATGCACCGATGACCACAGCTTTAATTTCTATCTTTTTTCGTGCCTCGCGTACTCTGTGCTACTCAAACTATTTTGCAGCATCGACTATTAACGTTCGCGCTTGGTTCGTCTTATATGTTCGACTTAAAAGACAATACGCTCATTCTGACTGAATCTCTCGTAGTCGTCCGAACAGAGGTAGATAGCCACAATGATCGAATGTCTCTCAACACGACACAAAGCGGACGCTAGAGTAAACCGAACGGTGCTTGTTGTGGTGATGCCGCTGCTGCTGCCGCCGCCGCCGCCGCCGCCGCCACTGCCATCGTTAAACATTCGCGCATAGTCAGAGAAGACGAAGACCGACTACAAGAGGGTGTGGGTTAACAGGAAACTATGCCGGTCTGCCTATTTGCCTGCACCTATGTGGATGTGCGTGCCTCGTCGTGACGGAACGTGCTCATCGAGACAAATAAAATAGCAGAAACTCTACGGGAAGAATGGAAAGAGAGGCTTAGAAGATCTCGGTCAACAATAGCAACGGGTATGAGAACACATGATGGCAATCATAAAAATTAAGCAAAGAAGCTATCCGTAATGGCAGAGAATAATCAAAACAAAATGGCTAATAAAACAGTTACTATTCTTAATCAAAGTTTATTGCCACCTTGATCGGGTATTCGTATCGCAATAATAATAAACGTCCAAAAAATGTTTGTGCCAGTCTCAGCAATGGGACAACTATCAACCACCAACAATCGTACTAGCAACAAACTACGATATCTACAGACACAGGTGTTCGACTGGTTAATAGTAATCTTTAGTGTGTCAAAGTACGGTAATAGAAACCTGTGTCGAGTATTTTGGAACGAAATTCCTATTCGTATTGCTGCATAACTCCCCTTCTACTCCGAGCTTACAATCGCCTCTGTGAAATTTAGGCTGCTGGCATAATCGATTCATACCCCGAAATGCCTAACTATTTTCAAAAGATTCTCCAAGGTTTTCACGATCAAAAAAAGTACGACTTCAAGAACAACCCCAAATAATTCCTCAGAACACAACCGCTTTAGTCGGAACTCTGTTTTCGATCGTAGGCATCGATCGTAATCAATCACCAAGTTCAAGAAAACAACACCCATATCTGTTTACTCTAATGAAATTTCGAAATGTCTAGCAAGCTTAGAATCGTTAGGCTTAGTTAGCATTTCAATTTGCGCTCTGAAAATCGATATCCTAGCTGCTCTATATGTCAGCCATTGCCACAGTAAGTAGTCGCGCGCGTGCTGCAATGCGAAACGGTACAAATGACTAGTCCTGCCATAACCTATACGTGTAGCTTCTGATTTCCAGTGTGAAATGAGCGTCCGCCCACGCAACGCATGTCTTTACCTAAGCTGCCAGTAATCGGTAGCATAGGCGCAGCACCTCCGATTAAAAAGATGTAATTTCGACTCGTAAACGGATCGCTATAGCCACGGCTGAGTTTTAATATTCACAGCTCACGCAAATTATAGGTCAACTAAATGACATAACTTTCAGCGCTTGCCATGCCAAGTCAGCCAGACACATGGCTGGCTAATGGCCGCATTCTGAAAATTACTGAGCTGAATGGAATAAATCCAAGAACTAAAGCCGATCATGTCTACTATTCGAGTACTACTTGAGCGGATCGTTGCTGAGTGTCTCAAGGTAAAAAAATTACACTAGTCACATATGCGTGAAATGCCAGCTGCAGCTCTACAGAGCGCGTCTATGCGTTTAGTGGAAAGAACAGGTGAGCTCTTGCGTATAGAACGGAAGGCCACAGATGTATGTCACATGGAGGGGACGATCCGTTACGACGAAAGACGGAACTAAAAGATCGGAACACTCTATCGGATCGCTTCCTCGGCTGGACAGCGAACGCTGTCCAGCCGAAGAAGCGATCCGATAGAATGAAATTAAAGGTCGAATCTGAATTCTCGCTTGACTGCCCCTGCTCGATCAACAAAGTGCATGCATGGTTCTGGCAAAGAAGCAGTGAAATAAAATCAAAACGGCAAACTCATGAAAGCTGCTGAACTCCGCTGTCAAATCGTAGAGCATTCGTTCAAAAATGAAGGATTTGAGGGAAGTTATTTAAAACAGAACAAAGCACCACACGAATGCTTAAGCATCTAATCAATGCTTGTCCTGACGTAACTGCAGTTTTCAGAATTTAGCAGATCTGTACCACAGCAGTAAAGGCAGATCCAATTTCTATTGTTTTTTATGTAGACAAGAACATCGACGGTCAAATGTTTGCTTGTCATTATAGTAGCCACATAGATTTCATCTTTTTTGCAATTTACTGAGCTTTTTCTGAAACTTTTGCCAATATGTACGCCGCCCATGTGGTCAGTTTACTCTAGTACTCGTTAAATTGCCTTCGAATATTCCAAGAATTATAATGAAGAAAACATCTGACGCTTTAGATACCATTTAGGTGCTGCCATTCGACTCTAACGATGTTTCATCCGAACAGCGATATAGCAGTGCACAACAGTGTTACGTCATAAGAAAATAAAAATCGGCACGATAATTTCAAATCATAATCGAACCAAATGATGCACATCTTTTTTACTCTTCTGAGGAATACAATAAACTCTAAGCGACAACTGACTCCATCTTCTTGTTTCTACATGTTTTTTTTCTCTAGTTTTTGTTTATGACTAACTCATCCTTCGCAATGCTAAACCTGACACCATCTCGTTATTTTTGAAAGCAACAAACTCTCCCCTAAGACTGTATGAGCTTTCGAACGGTCTACAGTAACTGATAAACGTGCCAGATGCCTATGGCACGACTTCTTTCGGAGCCGTAGGAGACTCCCTAATAGAATACAGGCGGCCCTATCTAACCATATCTACAGGCAACAATTGAGCTTGTTCACTGCAAACCGGTACAATACTTGGCATACTATTTATAATATACAAGTTATGTTGTGTATTTACAACGCGAGACTAAAAAAAGAATTACCGAATTTGCCAAATTTATATAGGTATACAAGGTTTTCGTTAAGATATTTGAATTATCTAAAAAAACAGTTCTATATTTTTTACGTAAACTCCTTTCCGTTTTTCCACAGAACAGCACGTGCACATACTGCAACATTGTCGCATATCTTTAAAAATTGTTTGGCAAATTATTATTGGCACAGCACATTGCACATTACAAAAGCTGGCTACTCGCACAATTTGCTATGAACGAATAAGTCATCATTTCAGAACGCCTTTCGATCAATGGCAAAAGCACTGGGCGGGCAATAATAATAATACGACCAGTATCGTAATCACAGACCGAACGAAGCTCATCACAACAAACTTAATATCGAGATATACACTTAAAGTATTAAATTAGTAAACAGTATATAGACATACAGTATGAACAGCTGTAAGTAATGTCCTGCTTTTCTTTATTTAACAAACGATGTTGCAATATATAATGGTTAAAAATGACTCACACAAAAAAAAAGCTAATTTTTAGAGAGCATTAATTTAATTCACTGGTTTATGGTTAAGAGATACGAGTCAACCGGTGTCATTGCATTTATTTCCATGCATCTATTGACTATCTACACATCTGTTGGCCAATATCAACGTATCACACGCAAACGCTCATTCCTTTTATGGTTCTTTATTTTTATTACCATATATCATCTTCATAATAACCTACTTGAAAATACTTCGCATATATACACACAGACAGTCACATCTAACAATGTTCGTCGCTATCAGCGATCAATTTCATTAACTTGATTAATTTCTTCTTCGCGACGGCGTCCTTACAATGTTGCTAGTTCGAGCCGGTTTTTGGCCAACGTCAAATAGACCCAAGCAGAGACTGTAGATTTCATAATGAAACAAATACCACCAACCGTGATATATATAGTATAGAGGAAATTATAGGAATAGGGACAGAAACTAAATATTAAATCTAGAGGATCACAGCTAACTGGCAGCTGATACGTTTAACGATTACGAGCCTCGAGACATGTTCACCGATGCCGTTACCATCGCTGGACAGCGACAGTGTTTAGTAGTGTGCACCTAGCTCCCCACGGTCTAATGAGAAAAGAGTAATGTTAGCTCGATACGTTAGAAGATTAAGAATAGAACACGAACAGAGAATTTATATTTGAGTATATCGTCTTTAAATCAACAGAAATGAAAAACTAGGGAGCAGGGTCACCTATGTGATACGTCATTAGATATGCACGATTGCCAGTACAGGCGTTATGACCACATTTAGGCAGGAAATTGTAGTCATATTAAAGACCATCATCAATCCCAAGAAAAGTCCCTCAAATTAAATGAAGTCCCATCGGCTATGTGCTTACGCATTTTTTTTTATACGTGATCCATTTTTCCGACTGCCAAACATCTAGTAACATTCAATCTAAATCCTTAATAGCTCGGGAAAACTTTCGTCTGTCAACGGAAATATTGCCCGATGTTAAAAAAAAACATCTTTACCAGAGATACGTATAGGCATTAGTCAGTATTACCCGAATGACCGCTCGCATCCCACAAAATTTCTTCAGACCTGATTTGTTTGGCTGCTCACGTCATCAACGAGCGTTTTCTGCCCAGAAAACTTCATCCGACACCTTCATTCATTTACGTATTTGGCTTCCTGCACCGGCCCTAACACCATCAAGTTTGTCGAAGTGTCGTTTTGCATTCCGAATGTTCACCAGTACCGACTCGGATGCTGCAAAAAGCGAAATTATAAACCCGCATTAGAACAGGAAAACCTACAACAAGGTACAAAACAATGTAACAGCGTTCATGTGGTTTTTCAATTGCATTCCGATTAGTTTTAGTGCATCAGGCCACAAGGCGTTGAAGTAACCCTCGGTAATATATAGTGTAATTGTTGGAACGATTGTGTTCGCATAACTGGGTTTAAATAGCATAACTGAAAAAAAACTTACGGATTGAAGTATCAGATATAATAACCATGACATAGGTGTTCTGGGTAAACATCTCGATGAAGGCGGCAAATGAAGAGTTGCGTACTTCCATTGACTGGAACTGTGATGCAAGTTTCGAACAGCTCAACTTAAACTGCTTGATGATGTTTGACACCTGGAAATTATTAAACAATAGCCATATTCTTATATTAGTTTAAGACCTCCTTGTGGAATAAAACGACTTATAATTCAAATATTTGTTACAGAGAAATTGCTTGAAAAATCTAACGACGACAATGAGATATACCAGAAATGCACGAATTTCGTAATTATCTACGATAAAAGTTAAGAAAAACCAACAACAATTAGTATAGCGCAGTAGTTGCTTCTATATCTTCGACTATATACAATCTTATATACAAGCTATAATTGTAAAGGGCATCAAAGATTAGAATTTCACTAAGACGTATTTCTTTTTCAAATGACAGCGACTCAGTGAGATTGTGTGACTAACGGTGCCATAAATGACCCAAACCTAATTTGGCTTATACAATAAATTAAACTACGAGCCAACTGCGGTAGCAAAAATAGAATTCTTGAAGTTCAAGTCTTACTACCTTTTCGAAGCGGTGTATATCTGGATGCTCTCGTTGCTGCTGATGCGAAATAATCTGAAATGGCCGTAAACAAATATTTTACTAACACTAAAATCTGGTAAGATTGTCTTCTTAACCCCGTGAAAGTACAACCATATTATGCGCTACTATTTTTGACAAATACATTTGACGTCTTTATGGGAACGAGTGGTCGACTTAAAGGTAGGATAATACGTAATTAGAAACTTCAGCGGCTTACCAAGAACGTAGCCCTTTCGAAGAGCAACACCTCGTCAGCATTGATAATTTTCGTAAATCTGTTTAGACTTCGCTCCAATTTTGCCACGTTTGGCACAAGTGTGTACACGATTGATGACCAAGCCTGAATAAACAATATATTTCAGCAATAATAATTTTGGAAAGACAAACTTTTTCAAGGAACTACTTAGGAGACACCAATTACTAGCCACGAGTTTACGACTGAGCTATAAAAAAAGACTAAATGAGAATTTTCGTTTTGAGGCAGTCAACTAAATGTACTAGCAAATGTTCTTTTATCTTGTGTTCTTAGTTTGCATGATCTTATATTCTTGTTCACGATAATTGCTATCCTAATGTGCAAGTTAAGCAAATTGAGATTCAAACAGACAGGTTAATAAGCTATGGGTCAAGCTAATGGTCACAATTAAAAAAAAGTCATTTACACGCTCTACAAGTGGGCGCATAGCTTTCTATATTCAAACACAGGAGTGGAATAATGTACGAAAATAATGTTCTCTACACTCTCGGTACACGAACATATCATGGTTGAATCAAACGTCACTCAGCAACAATGATAGCTCGAAGCCTACTTTAGTTGACCCCATCGTGTTCTACCTTGATTTGATAACGCATTGGACATCCATTAAGTAGTTAGTCGGAGAAAGACTAAGGACTATTGCTTTGCTTCACTAATATATCAGTCATATTAAGTCTCAAAGGCTTTTTAACTCTACTCCTTAACACAAATTACTTTTAACAAAATATGCACCATTATTCTTTTACATCAATAAATACAAAGGTAGTCAGAAGTGTCTGTGAACAGAGTCGCTAAATTCAAAACAGTGAAAGTTAGAAAAACAAAAAAAAAAATACTGAAAAAGGCTAGACTGAATAAGAATGGAATAAATGGACACATACCTTGTACAGCGTCTCGTCCCATATCGACGTAGAAAAGCACACGGGTAATATCGGGTTTGACAATTTTGTCAGGACTGATACTCGACCCTCAAAAATATTTTGGCGATCTTTCTCCGAAACAAGATCCATTTTGTGAATAAGGCAGAACACTTTGGCTTGCGGACTGTTCGTCAGAATCGCTTCTAGACAACTTTGGTAGTAGACGTTATCTTTGTCGTACTCCATCGAGGAAACGTCGAAAACGTAAATAAGTACCTGCCATCAATGAATGTCAATGGTAATACGTTACGACTTGTTAAGACTTTTCTGTACTACAGCTTTACAGAGCGGTTAACAACATATTGCTTGTATAAACGTCGTATACCATGTTTTTACAGAGGACGGTCTAAATCAATATATAGAGACGGTGATTTAGTCAGTAGTGACATCGAAAATTCTAGTAAAAACAACTGAATATATTTACATCTTTCGTTATTACTAACTGTATACATATAAGATTTTACCTAAATTTAACATTAGTAAAGTGACTTTCTTCATGGGACTTATTGGCTTCACCTAGTTTATGGCCACCTTTTCGCATACATCTGACCCTATCCTTTCAACGGCAGCAGAAACGTTCTCTTGAAGTTTGTTTATTGTACTTGGATTGTTATAGTAAACCTGTTCATCGTCACTCCGTCTGGAGATCAGTCTTTTTTGAAGTGATCTTTTAATAAAGCATTATTAGTTGCGTGGAGGGGTGGATCATACTGCTGAATAATTTTTAAATTTTGTCTGCTGAATTTTTTTAACAGCCTAAAGTGCAAGAAGACCTCAGATCCTTTTCTGGCAGGGAACAGAACTTACAATTAAAATACAAAGGTCAATGATCCCTTCGCCCACGTACCGGACCACATAGTAGTTTTTTGGTATGTAAACTTCTTTCGTATATAGCCTGAGGATTTTAAGTTTGCAGGGATCCACGGACGAAATACAAACTTAGGGAAATTATATGTGCGGCGCTTTCAAAGATAGAACTAGATAGTTGCCAAAGAGTGGCCAAAAAACGGATAATTGCCATGAATAAAACAAAGAGAGTAAATGCATTTCTTTTTTCTGTGGCCATGACTGTATTATAGCATAATATGGATACACTAACGAAATACCTACGTGTGTACAAAACGGATAGTATTGCTACGAAAAATATTAGAAATTATCCTCCGTTTCTATCTAATAATGTTGTAAGGTAATTCTACTATATACGAACGCTCAATTAGAGTATGGTAACAATATTAACCTCAACGTTCAAAAAAATCGTGTCCCGTTGTGCCTGGAAATAGTTCTCCATGAAGACCTCCTGACCTCCACAGTCCCACAAGTTGAGTACAAGGTTGCCAAGGAAACGTACATGAGCGTGCTCCACATCGACTGAAATCAGATCGAGAGATATGGTTATTTTGTTCTAACCGACACAATATGAATTATAAGCGGGCGAGTACTATGAATGTAACACATCTGCAAAACAATATGTATTTTCGTTAATTTGCACGAGCTGAAACAGCACCTAGACATCGGCCAATCGGTCGTGACCCGGTGAAAAGCATTTTAAACTTGTTATTAATAAAGAATATACAAAGTGTGATACTAACGTTTTCCCAAACATTAATTAAGAGGTGTACTGATAAACGATTTTAGTTTTTCAGTTAAATTTGTGGGGCAGAAGTATTGCAGTTCATAAAAATATCCACATATGACTTTCACCTCCAAACTTATTAAAAGTAACAACAAATTGCAAAGAAGGGGATGTTGGCAGTATCGTGATGTCACTAATTTTTTTCTTTTTTCAAAACTTTCTTTTTACGTTTGAAAATTACGGTTACTAGATTCAACTAGTTTATCACTTCCTCGTATGAAAAACGCCGTAGTAACAATACTAGGTATTGTAATCGATACCACTGTTCAACTTGCGACTCATCCGACTCATCAGGATAATTCACCATTGCTTCAATTTATTGGAACCCTCATTACCACAACCAATGAGATATTTCTCACAAATCTAAATCTTTTGATTGTCTTGGTGAGCTTTTTGCATTCGCAATCAATTTTATCCCAATCGTATATATCATACTTATGGTGGTAAAATTTTTTATATCAGATACTTTTTTGATATTACGGATTGAGTTATAATTAGGATTTCTGTGAAAGATCAGCAAATACCCAAGACTATTTTTTAAACGAAAACTTTTCTTTGTTTTTAACACCAATTCAAAAATTTAATACAACGACACTACTTAGAATTCTAGTAGTAAGAATCTCACTCGATCATTCTCATCATCATTCGAAATAAAACAGAAAATAAATCGTGTAAGTCCTTGTCTGAACCACAACATTGAAAAGAGGAAAATAATGAAACTACTGTAGTTTTTAGTGAACACAGTAGTAAAGTATTTAAAATCCTCTCGACCCCGATTTAGATTATAAAATCAGCAGATAAACATAGAATCATTGCGTACACTACAGTCATAGCAATTAGATACAGTAAGCGATTTCGTATTAAAACTCCATGCGGTACTTTCAAGTCGCTTCAATAATTATCATGAAAAAAACGATATGTGTACTCGCTTTTAAAGTGGTTAGAAATCGCTGGTAGTCAAAGATGCCGGAGCGGAAGGCAGTAAAAAATTCAGTACAAATTTCTGGAATATCTCACATTTTTTGTAGCAAAATGAACTTCATGTCAAAAGTATAAAGGTCATAATATGTTTTTGTTTCTGATAAACCTAAAACGTTCGCCATAATTAACACATATATGAGATGTCCCAGGAAAATTTATACACTGTTCAACAGGTCATAACTTTCCTACTGCTCTTTTACTTCATTATGTAACTTACAAGAAACTATGAGTGGACCAGGATGAACTTTTGAACAAGGAATATGTATTTAATAGTACGATTGGAAGAATGATATATAGCTAAAGTACAAAGCTAACATCGTAGGCAGTTTTAGGCAGATAAACCTACGCGACTCACAATTAATCGGATAGATGGAAAAATTGTGGAATATTCTTAGAAAACGTCCCGGAAGATTAAGAACATCAACGAATTTCACCTTTAGAAAAAGAGTACTGAAAAATTATAGTGATACGTCTTACACAAGACGATCAGGTCGTGAGCATCAGCAAGTTAATGTCCATAGCATTTCAAGGAAGTCGCATTCTGACAATGCTACATGCTATCAATGAAGATCATTCAGAGTGAACAGAACTATTTTGGAAAAATTAAACAGGATGCATGGTTTTTGAGAAAACATTTTCTACAGTAATGAGGCTATATTCAAAATAAAAAGCACAATGTGTGGATATAATTGTAGTCTCTGGGCTACTGCAATCCAGGAGAACATTATGTAAATACTAGGAGCTACAGTATGATGCGCCATATCAAGCAAATGATTAATTGGATCAGGTGTTTTCGACAGTACAGTGACCGATGCCACCATGCTAGTTGAATTTACCCCAAGATCTCCTTTATTACGTGTACCAAACGACTTTAATGAAAATGACAAGATTTATTCTTACAGGATGCAATACCTGCCCATTCTCGTCACTATATAAGAACATGCCTTGATGAGAACCTTTTTAGGCAGATAGGCCGAATGAAAAAATTCCCATAAAAAATTCCGCCCCTTTCCGAAAAAAACCGAATCGTTTTCTGGGGATACTTTAAAGATAAAGTATCCCCAGAGTGAGAACTGATAACACTCAAAGATTTAGAAGCAACATTCAAGCGGGGATGTGCCTTAACATCAAATTACGTATTTTGTTGGAGTTATGAATCAATGGTCTACCATTGTCTGTAATATATTAACCAGAACAGCCTGCGGAAGGTGGAAAAATTTGACAGTTCATGTATATCCTTGTGCAGTTTAAATATTAATTATTATTAATATTAAAAATTGAAGTTAAAATTATTCATATACGGAATACGCTTTTTGCGACATATAAATGTACGCGTAAAACGGTAACAGAAACATACTTGTCGGCCCAAGTCTCCGAGTATCCCTGGCGATATAGTTGGCAAAGATAATTGAACGCATGCTCGTTTTTCCAGACCCAGACTTTCCCATCAAAAGTACCTGAAACGAAACAAAAAACGATAATACTTTTTGCTTTTGTATAATGTAAGCACTTCTGAAGCAAACACTAATGGCATAATCACTGTCCGGTCCGAAGTACAATATTCAATACATGTTATAATTTACACTGAAGTTTTAAACACAACATCTGTTAATAGGTGGATCTTATAAAGCCTCTAAGTGTTATACATTTCCAGACAACAGATACCTTTATCAGTAATCTTTAAGTGATACCTGCTTGCGTCTGGCTTTTGTGGATGATAACATGCCTACAATAAAAAATATTGAACATGCATTTTGGTAGTGTCAAAAATTATAATAAGCAATTTATTTAGTGCATTATTTTAATTCGCATAGTGTGTTCCTGTCATCATCTATCTAAGCTTTCAAAATTCTTTTTTCTACAAGTTTCATATGTGCATCATCCAAAAACCCAATCAGTTACCGCGTAATTAATACAGATATAGCAAAATGACCCCCTAAAAACTTCAAATCAATACTTAAGATTAGTTATGTTTACTCATAATACTTGGAGTATTGGTAAATCATGCTGGTGACGCATTGTTCTCCTATAGCAACAGATTTTTATTATTATCCAAGCATGGAGATATGATTGACTTAGGTACCAATTTGCATAGCACAAGGTTCTTTTGCTGAGGCTTAGTGTTCCTAATCATCAACCTACCTTTTTCTTCATGGTGATAAATTTGCGGTCGTTGTCACTTTCTTCTCATTAATATTAGCAGCTAAGCCATTGGTTACAAAGAGACAGTAAATAATAAGCACAGCGCAGAATCGTTTCACATGGATACTTTCACGCACACGCTTTGTCCCACAATTCCGTCCCTTCTCACTAGGTGTGGGTCATTGTAATCTCTATCTAGCTGCCTTTATACCTATCTGTCTGTATGTTTAATACAAATAGTAGCTTTTTATTACAATACCCTCTAGCAGCAACGCCGAGTTACCGACGCCCCTCTCTAAATCACATGTCGCCTAAAAGCTGAACCCGACCAAAACAAAGTGCTGTCTGTATTTAGCGCGGCAATCAAAATCTTACGTCGCGATTAATTACAGATCTTTTAAACTGAGTTGACTCTAAGGGATTCGTTAACATCTTTCGAGATTAACGGCCAGACAGCTACTGCTGTGGGGCACTCCTCGGACGATTCGCTCCCACAACGAAACCAAGTATGCCTATACCCGGAATCGAACATACACCACTATGTATCCATAATACTACTAGGGAAATACGTTACCCACTAAGCTACCACGGGGACTTGCAGAAACCCTATTCGAGCTGCCACAGATATAATGGTAGCAGCAAGAACAACAACTTCCCGTCTTTCCCGGTCGTTCGTCGTGTGTGTCAGCTGATCGGCTCCTTGACTACGACCGTGGCGCCACCTTTTGATTCACATTGTAACCAAGCGGCGTTTCGAGCGATTGTCAGAGACCATCCTTGTCTCTCTATTAGGATAGGGTGTGCAGCGGCAGATGCAAGGGAGACCAGTGGGTTATCTAAGCGAGGTGTGCTCACTTGGCCTGCCACTCTAACCGACACTTACAACTTAACCGACAACGACGACAATAATAGCAGATTTTGTGCAGTTGTTTACCTGTGCATACTGGATGGAAAAGTGTTTCTTGTGCGATCATTTAAATTTTTATTAGTTCTCCGTTCGACTGATTGTTAGGATATATCATCAACATATCAGCGGTCGACATGTTGAGGCACACGGCAAAGCTCGGACGGGCTTTGGTTACCCGTAAGCTTGAGGTGGGTCCGGGTCTCGCTAGAGTTACACAAGTGCAGTAATTTGAAATGTAGTTGAATGCATACAATCAAAAAATTAAAGCCGTTTCTCTGTAATCTGATATAAGTACGTATATATATGCATGGTTCTTGAAAAAGCGAGAAACAAGTTAACTGGCTCTGTGCTAGGGTCATCGAGGGCTCGTTGACATTTAGCAGGAACATGGATAGAAAAAGGGTGTGTGCGTATATCGCATATACATATTTATAGGGTCAAAAATACGGGAAGACCACTTACGGTTCCAACCTACTGACCTTCCAATCGCCGAAAAGGCATGTTGATACAGTCGTTGATAATATTACGATATTAATGATCTTATTCAATGCTTTACTCTCTCGCTCCATTGCGCGAAACCCGGAAAACCGCTCAAGGGTCATGGTAATAATGTGAAAACACCGCGCATAGACGATTTCGACCTTTTTAGAATTAGCTTTCAAGCGAGCTAATTAAATGTGATGGTCCTCTACTTCATTGAAAAGAAACAACTGAATAGTTGTGATCTAATAAGTTATTTTGCTTTCATTTTTTGCAGTGTTCTTTGTATGAACCTGCTTTGTGTATACAGCCAAAACGACTACTGACGTTGACTCAGCCAAACGATCTTGGCCGAGTCGAGCTCAGTAATCGACACAAACGAATAAATGTCAAGCGTCTTGGTGCTGACCGGACGGCTTTTGTCTTTTGTTCCCTATGACCTTCTGAGCATAGCATATGGAAAGCTAAGGAAAAAGCAAAAAATGCACACATATGGAAGTGCTATTAATTGTGAACATAGCTATGCTTATAACCTCCCAAATGTCGTTTTTTTTTATCTTATCTGTGTTGTCGGGATCATGTCTACAGTATTTATTTTGTTTTTGCACTGGCAAAATGGTTAGACGGTGTGCTGTTAACTAATTGACACTGATTCTGAGCAAGCAGAAGCTGCAGTGGACCACCATTATTGCTATCATAAGATCTAAGTATTTCCAACGAGAAGCACGTATCTATTGCAATGAACTGAAAATTGAAACTATGTCGTCACAGTCATCAATATGACTCCCAGTTACTGCGAGTGGCAATTTCAGGATCAATAGTTTCCGCTTTCTCAAACAGGAGCGGGCAGGGCCACTCGTTCGAGATGCGTTACGTTTTATTTATTAACAAGAAGGATATGCGCAAGATAGACGCAAGTGCTTAGTAGTATTGACATATCGATATGCGACAATCAGTAATGAACAAGGCGGTTAAGAGTGTACTGCAGACTTTTGTGCTATCGTTGGCCTTTTCGGTGTGGTAGAAAAACTGGTACTTTAGATTTTCGATACTACATATTCGATACTATGATAGTTAAGCACTGTTTCAAACCGTTAGCTCCTGTCAATATAAACGAAGTACTTTGTTCCGAACCTAGATTATCTCGCGTTCCCCTAAGTTTACTAGGCAGACCCGTTATCACTCCAAGAATATCTCATAGGAACCAAGTATGGGAATTTATGAGCGGCGTGCGAAATTACAACCGCAATACCTTAGTTAGTGAAATAATGCGCAAAACTGAGACTGATTTAATAATCAAATGCTTAAAGACTTCTCTAAATAAGGTCTCTTATAACGTTTTTCGCTTCGTTTGTGACATAACATTAAGGCACGGATTGGCCATAAATTAATTACACCTTGAGTTCGTCTTGGTTGCATTTTAGTTCTGTAGTGACAGTGTGTTGATCTCTAGATGATCAAAAGCTGTAGCCACACTAAAATTGTCCTGCCGGAGCATGGGGGCGCTGTACCCAATGATTTCGAATCAATCAATTTCGGTCGTGGCTTTAGAACTGCAGTCTGTTTCCTTAGAGCGAAACTTCGTTTCTATAAAACAGATCGATGTAGCGGACTATGTCATTCTCCTTCGACGAAGGCAAATTCACAGATTTCAATGGTAATAGCAGAGATGACAACGTTGACGCTATATGTTATTAAGACGGCTTTGCTAGTAAAGGCGAACCAATAATTTATAATAAATAAAATAATAAATAAAAAAGTCTGTCGTGAGTTAACTCACAGTATCGAGAGTCATTTTTCTTCCCCATTATATTTAACTATTTCTGATCAATGATCAATTTTACTGTATACATGTTGTTCTTGCTCGGAAGACACTTTCAGTTTTCCCATACCCGTGGCCGCTTTTAGCCAGAAGGCTAGCATTTCACTGTACTAATACCGTGGATAAAATAATGATTGGTAAGCTCTATGATATATTAGATCCGGTTTGATCAGAGCTTTTTTTCGTCAGGGGGAATTGTTCAGTGTGCATTGTTATATATGTAATCCTCGCTGTATCTACATGATATATCTGTAGTATAGGTTAATTTGAGATGGTTGGATGGCACGATCTGGCTTGACCACATTTGTCATCGAAAAAAATTTTTAAAAAATCCTGATTGGAAGAAATTACTGGGCTATTATTAAATATAATTGCGGTAAACGCTTAACTCTATTTGACGGCCCGTCTTAACTGCGGCGCAGGCAACTGGCAGTGAAGTCGGTCGTCAAACTGGGTGTTCACTACAATGCGCGTCTAACAGTGAGTCTATTCTGATTATCTGGTTGTTGCTTAAAGCCGAGCTAGAATAGACGCAATCGTACTTATAACAACATAGCTTGCGAAGAAATGGCCAATATACCTATAGAAATGCGTTGCACTTATACATTATACTCGACGTGTTCATTCGGCTACTCTGAGCAGCAACAAAGAGCAGTATTTATAGATGGATGTTATTATCTGTTCAACATCGCTAAAAAAAAACAAACTAATACAGAATAGGTTTTTAATAGCTCACTGATGACGTTTAAAAGGACGTTTCTCAGTTTATTTGAAACAAACTTAGCTGTCGTTGCAGCGTATTGGCGTAATTCAGCATCTCATGTGTAAATCGATTTCTTAATGCCTGTTTTCATTTAGCTAACTTAATCACCATTTGTTCCGCTGTGATATGTTGAAATGCATGAATCCTTTGATTCTATAACACTACGCGCCAGCAAACATTTTATTATCCAAATTAATCTATTACCTTAGCGTGCATTGAAATACTTGACGATTCTATTTACTGGAAATGACGCGCTTTTTCGGTCTATGACGCAACATCGGAATTGAGTGACTGCCGCCATCTGACTTCGAACCTCTAACATGTAAAATATTCCGGATCCACTAAGTGGGTGCCACTAAAGGCCCGACAGGGCACACGAGAGGGAATAAAGATTATACATGTCTCATATTATATTATTATTATTAAGAGTTCTATCTGACTTAAAGCTAACCTTAAAACAACAATTACCATGATTTTATTTCAGTTTTCGATTGTATTTTCGCTATCATTTTCGGTCATGTCGGTATATCGAATTGGAAAATGTAATTATTCCAATAAAAAGCTTCTAAGGACAGTAAGCTGAAGATCTGTTCTTATACACACAAACAAACAGTTTGTCATGACAAATTTGTTTTTCTTAGAATAATAACGCCTCTCCCAAAAAGAAGCCTGTTTCAATCGGACCGCAATAATATCTGCACCTATGTCATCTCTCGAAATAGCTAGAATTTTAACTATAACTATCTCTACTTTTTTTTCAGAATGAAACTGTTTGTGTTTCGCCGAAGCGTCAGCTCAATCTGCTCGAAAGTGATTCGATGACTATACTTCGTGAAAATGGAGTCATGGTGCCCAAGTATGTAGCATACGTCCAAAACAAAAAGCAAGCTATTATTATTTATGTACAAAAAAGACAAGCTAAAGAAATATCTTTTTATATTAAAGGAGAGTTTGTATCGGATTACTGCATTGTGGATCGTTTTGGAAAAAGGTTATCCTATTCTTCGAATGTTAGCGTATAGTGTAAAGTAATCTACATGGACCCAAATTTGTTCAATGCAAGCGTGCCACGTTAGGGGAAACTAGCGGTGCCACGGAATTTCCATATATTTGTCACTCTCTTTTATATGATTGGGTGACGGGCATACTAATGTTCATTCATTTTTGAGAAAATAGTATTTGAAGATATTTATGTCGTTAGCCCTTACAGCGCCACTAAGCTGGGTTGTGCGGGTTGCTAATGGCTTCTTTTTGAAATCAACGTTTTTTGCTGGGGCATAATAGAGACCTTCATATAGCTCCTGTCTCGTCTAGCCTTACTTTCTCTTATACACCAGTGTATATCTTAATATACTGTAGCAGGTGTGCCAAAGAACCCGAAGGGCGCTCAAGAAAAACGATTAGCAATAACAATGACACGCAGTACATGTTGCGTTTTTTTTAGTTACCGCGTAACCTTTTTCTCCTTTGCTGAACCCAAGTGGAACTTATTGGCTAGAGAATCACAGTGACACTCGCAGCCCTTTTGCAAGGTACAGGCTTCCCCGTAGCTGTATTGCTACCCCAATATTGTTCCTTAACGAATTTAATCGTACTGTTATAAGAAAGAAATGATAACTCTAAAAATAATGATCAGATATGTAATGCGAACTCTCAAAGATACGTCAAGACGCTGCTAATTGAAATTAATTTTGAAATGTTATTAAAAACGGCGGGCATAACGCTCGAACGAAGCTGCCATCGCCACGGTCTTTTCCGATGTTCTTAAGTGTTTAGAACATCGAAATGATCTATAGATTCATAAACCAGCATTGAAACGGCTTAGAAAAATCGTTTACGTGAAATCATGATGCATGATTACCCTCATCGTGTGTCGCAGTCCTGTGCATACAGTTGGGGGAAGATAAGGCCGTCATCTGGAAGCTGATAGCGAATGCAATTGTCATAGGGCTATGTTTTACTTAGGAAGGGAAATTGTCGCGTGTAATATCACTTGTAACTTGTGTATCGCCAAAGTTTCGAGCCAAAGCTCGAAACTTTGGCGATATTATGAAATTTTGCAGGACAGGTACGTGCCCTTAACGAATGGTATTCTGAACTGAAACAGAACTTATTTATTTGAATGTGATCTACTTTCACATAAATTATGTGTTCCCAGATTTGGTGTCGCTACAAATGCTTCGGAAGCCCGCAAGGTCGCTTTTTCGCTTGGAGCGAAAGACTTCGTTGTGAAAGCTCTAGTGCTTACGGGCGGCCGAGGCAAAGGCGTGTTTGATTCTGGACTAAAGGTATTCGAAAATACGAGAACATTTATGTTATTATGTCGTAACACTCTGAAATTATGCACTCCACTGATCCGTAATTGGAAATCATAAGGCCACCAATCTATAGACTTGTCGTTGCCCAAGTTTGTTCATTCGTACGCAATAGCTGACATATTATCATTTGAATTATTTTGTTAACCATAACCTGAGTTACCGCTCTAAAATACCGAATTATTGGCAAATGTAACTAAAATTGTCAATCAAAGTAGCATAGTTTTACCTCGAGTTAACCGAGCGACTGCTGTTTCTTTGCTCCTGCAGGGAGGTGTTAAAACTGTATTTACCCCTGAGGAAGCGGAAAAGCTCGCACAACAGATGATTGGCCATAAGCTAATTACGAAACAGACCGGAGAGAAGGGTATTCAGGTGAACAAGGTGGGTACACGGTCCTCAATTACATAACGTAAATATCAGTTCTTATTTTCAACCGATTTGTAAATTATCACTGCGCTATACATGATCTACGATATCGAATATATGCCTTTCTTATTAATAAAACATGGCACACAAAAGCACTGATGATCAAACCAACGTTCTATTGATAAGTGATTCTTGCCTTTGAAATCAGGTGATGATCAGTGAGCGGTTGTACAACCGACGTGAATACTATTTTGCCATTATGATGGAGCGAAGCGCTAATGGACCTATAATTGTTGCGTCATCTCAGGGAGGCGTCAACATTGAGGAGGTAGAGTGTAACTTGTTTATGTTTATTGATAAAAAAAATAGAGAACGCCTTTTGTTAGTTTACTATACATAGGTAGTCTTTTATTGCCTTTGTAACAATCTCAATTCCATAGTACTTCAGATGTGCTACGGGGGTTTCGCTACGACTTGCTTGTACAATATGTGGTAAGCAGCTAAGGCAAATAAGGGAAAAATGTCGTAATTTTACTTTTAGGTTGCCAAGGACAGCCCAGAAGCTATCCTGACGCTCGCATTGAAAGACGGCGTAAAAGAGGCCGAAACGCGTGATTTCTGTCAGCGGCTTGGTTTCCAGGGCAAGAGCTTAGACGAAGCCACTGTGATGGTCGATAAACTATACAAGGTGTTCTGCAAGTACGACGCGACCATGATAGAGATCAACCCGATGGTAGAAGATAATAATGATACCGTGTATTGCCTCGATGCCAAATGTCGATTCGATGACAACGCTGAGTATCGCCAGAAGGTAGCATTTGTTTCAATTCAGATTCGATTAATTGATTTCATGACTCCATATAATAGGGTATACAATGTTCAGTCAGTACTTAACAAGCTAATGTACTGGATGATGTTGAAGCATTACGTCCATATTTTTCCGTGGATATCTACCTAATAATGACGGGTAAATGGTAATCGAAAGCAAACACAACACCCTTTTATCATAGATCTACACCGACTATGCTTGTATAAAAATTTACCTACAAAATGCTATAAGTTATACTAGTTATTAGATTAAGCATTTTAAGTTAAAGTTGACAGCTGAACAAGACCTAAGACGATAATCTGTAATGTCCGCCCATCTAGTCACTATTTGAGCTGCGCGATTGGGACCAAGTAGACATCCGGGAGAAAGAGGCCGCTCAATACAACCTTAACTTTATCGCGCTTGATGGAGACATTGGCTGTCTGGTCAATGGAGCTGGTCTAGCCATGGCTACCATGGACATTATTAAACTACATGGAGGAAGTCCCGCAAACTTCCTTGACGTCGGTGGAGGCGCCACTGCGCAACAGGTAGTTTTTACCAATATTTGACAATGCCACAACAGTAGACATGGACAAAGTTGTTTTAGAACATTGATGTTGACCTTTACTTTGTCATAATTTGACCTTTACTACAAGGAGCTCATGTCAGTTTCATATAATTTACATCTCCTTTATTTATTTACAGGATTTCGTGGGAACGTCGTTTAATCAAAGTTTCATAATTATTTATTTTCTCGTAATTTTTGTTACCATATTCAGGTGACTGAAGCTTTCAAACTGATCACGAGTGACCCAAAGGTACAGGCAATTATGGTGAATATCTTCGGGGGTATTATGCGCTGTGATGTTATCGCTGAAGGAGTTATTAAAGCCGCTGAAACGCTTCAACTCAAAATTCCCATTGTATGCCGTCTTCAAGGAACTCAGGTGCGCTAAGTAAGAGGCATGTTTTCTTATCTGAAAAAAATAAATAAACCGATACATCTACTCAGTGGCTATTTTTCTTGAGAACCTGTTATTTGCATAAATATGCCGAGAAAGCGATATAGATGAGTACAATAAATCCTAATGGAATAAAACTAGTTTCCAACATTTTGAAGTTTCTGTTTTCATGTTCATTTGATGGTATTCATGTTTCTCCTCAACAGGTTGACGATGCTAAGGCTCTAATAGCTGCTTCAAAGCTGAAAATCATCGCATGCGATAACCTGGACGAGGCAGCCAAGATGGCCGTCAAGCTTTCGCAGATCGTAGGACTAGCAAGGAGTGCGGCGGTTGACGTCAAGTTTGAACTGCCCCTCTAGTCATCTAATTCGCCTAAGGATTTCTCACCATAGCAAGAACGAAAACAAAAGCATACGTGGCTGATTTTGACCATGGGAGGTCACTACTTAAGGGTATATGTACAACGGGAGTGTTCGCAATTGATGTCGAAGAACAAGTGACTCTTCTATTTAATGCAATCACTAATATTCACTGCACCTCGATTTCTAAACCTGGTTAATCAATTTAACCGGAACAGATAGACGTACAAATTCTTTCAGCAGTTTACTAGTTATCAATGAAGATGAGAACACTGAATTGGCCGAGGAAAACTAAGTGGAAGCTCGGAGGTCGTCACTAGAATAGAAAAAGGTATAAACAGCAAAAGAGAGATTCAAGTTGACGGTAGAATTTTAAGCTATCTTAAATAATGGACAAGAACGGCTATATTTAATTAGCTTTCCATGGAGGGCATATATAACAGAAAATAGGGATCGCAACGAAGAAGGCAATAGTATATAATCAGTAGGGATAATAGGGTTCGAGTCACTGTCACTGCGCTATTGGTAACGTATCAATGAAATTGGCTCCCAGTCTATACAAAGTTTACATAAATTAAACGCAAACTGTAACAGATGGATAGATGTAATGATTTCTATAGCGATCGTATTTTCTTTTTTTTTTTATATTGATAATAATGCACATAGCGTTGTGAGTCCCTTTAACTTCTTGTCGCCAGAACTACTAAGTCATTTTCATTTCAGCCACATGAAAAAGGACGGCTGAATAAGCAAAGCGACGCTCTCCACTTTGCGCATCTACTAAGAAGGATTGTTTTGGCTGTGTTACATAGTGCTTTGTTACCCAAGAATTAGCATATATAGAAACGAAGATTCCTAGGGTATGGCATAGAATTGTCAATAATAAATATATTGTTGTTTGTTCATACACACATTTAATGAATATCTAAGAATCGTTAATTGCAGGTATATTTTATTTATATATACTAGACCTATATGCACCAACGCTTGTAAGCGTTGCTAGGCTCTGTTTGGTTTCTAGGTTTCCGGTTGTTTCCTTTCGCTTAACTTCTTTATGCCGGTTACATATTGGGCGGAGTACGGTCATGGTAAAAAAATGCTAGCGACTCATAGGTTGCGCCACTTGCGCCTTTGTTGGGCTGTTATAAATATTGTGATGACGGACAAGCTAATAAGAATGCTATTGCTATCATGTTATTAACTAATATTACGTAATACTCATAGTGCATGGACCGAAAAACGTTTCTCGTACGAGTTTTTGCTTACGCAAGGTTATCCCCTAAGAGGAGACATGTTCATTGCATATTACTGCGCTCAAATTAAAAAAATTACATCGAACAGAACAAAAGCGAAAAAGAAAGATAAAGCATGAGCGAGTGGAGAAGGATGAGTGTTAGAACTTGAGAAATCGACTAAATGAGTGTAGATGAAAATGCTCCAGAACGGAAAATCTAAACTGTATCAGAAAATAAAGGTTAAATAAAGATCGAAAATGTGACGCAAACGCGCCAATAATGTTAATAATGATAAGGTGTGCTATTTTATATTATACATTTGTAGTGCCTATGATTAAAGACATGAACGTCTTGTTTCGACTCACTCCTCATGGCTATCAGGATTGTTATCAGTTTATACGTCAATAAACTGCCGTCATTACGTGAATAGATGAATAATATATAAATAAAGCATTAATATTATTAATAATAATCAAAAGGTCGATCTTATATTCAATAAACCCAGGAGAAAATCAAAGATTTATCTAAAGAAATACTCTCTCTTATTACTCTTAATTACTAAGAATTAGCAAAAAGTGGCAAGTGTCGAACGTGTGACGAAGTTCCAATGGAAACTAAGAAATGAAATGCTTTTCATATGAGTGATGCTTTTCGAAACAACCATATGAACTCAGGAAATGCAGTCATTATGAAAAATTATCCGCATAGGATTAGGTTGTATAACATTGGATGTGTTTAAATACTAACCTGCCGATAGTAAATATCTATCAGTTGACAAAGGGCCGCCCTCTGCTAGGTTATGCTGTCTCAAACATCATCAACATAATAACATAGTTAGATACTTGGAACAATACAGGTATCACATAACTATCATAGTAACACGTCACTGTCATAGTGAGATCGAGTAGCAATGGTGTACAAAGGCTTGCCTAAATGTCTCTGTAATAGATATATTGTTAGTTGAGTAAGACCGCTCGAGATATGCAAGCAAGTCATCGAAAATACCATCAGTGATTACAAACAAAACTTGGCCTGATCATATTCAGATCTCAAAAAATTATATAACATGCTTTTGATGTTTTTCTAAACGTCAGATTTATACACGCCGCTATTATTACGCACCTCATGCAGGCTCGTTGAGAATACCGACATGAAGACATACTATGGTGCCTACAACGTTTCTCAGAAAGAGATTATACAGAGGGAAAGGAAGTGTGGTCCTTAATAAATGTACTACATAGTAGTAAAATTAGTGTAACACTGTAAGCAAGTATTGCAGCTGAGACACACGGATCAAGGGTAAAATCGTGTCATAACTAAGACTCCAATTCAAAATCGAAGATAGAATTTTTCAAGTTGGGGGTATTCTAGAGAAAAGAAGCGATTTTCATAGACCACTATAAATAGAACGTACAACGCTAGGAAATTAAAACATGACACGAGTCTCTCAGTGGGAACGATGCACCACCCACAGCGTTAGCTTTATAATCCTATTTTAAATCGGAAACATTTAATGGATTTCATGCTTCACCTACCAGAGAAAATCTATATATATATATATATATAATTTAGCTATTTTAACTCGAAATCCCTATACTGCAGTATGTGGTTCAATAAAAACAAAGCATAAGATATATAGATTGTCCTGTACGGCAAATTATATATAGCCAGCCACATTAGAACGAGTTAAATATTACTTAATTCTTAAAAATTACACGTAAAGCATGCAGCTATAACAACACTCAACTTACATCATTCATTCATTCACGGCTTATCATATCAACACAACTGACTCGAAGTTCTCATCTTCTGAAGGTACCCGCTAATTTGTCCGTGTCAATGTTAAATCAACTAAACTTCCAAATCAATTACGTCACAATCTTTACAGACTACGCAGATTTCGTATTGTTCTTTTATTCCAATATTTTTAATATCCCACCGTGTCTTTCATTACTCTATATTTGTCCTTATTTATCTTACACACACCAAGCAATTCAGTTAATAATTCATTCTGTTTGTGCGATGTACATCCTAACTAACATTTTGCTTATTCGATTGAAATTTTAAAATGTTCCTCAATTCAGTAATATCATCAGCTTTAATTGTGTTCCCGCTAACGTCCAACTCAATAGCCACTCTTCTTATAAACCGACGTCGGCCACAGTACAACGCTTCGACATCCAAACGTCGCCTCAGTATTAGCACTTAACGATATCATGAGCGTTACAATTGGCCCTTACATTCAATGAAGTCTAAGATCGCGCTTGTCTTAACGGCAAGACCTTCAATAGGACCCTTTACAGAATTTTTTAGAACAAAGTCTATGATTTGGGCCAACGAGAATTCTAATGCAAAGATTGGTACGAGGGGAACAGAAACGGCCACATAATTTCCACTGCATCGCTTGTTGTTGATGTTTGATAGGAATGAAGGTACAGTTTTAAAGTAGCAGGTGGAACAGTATGGGATACGAGGGATTTTTTTTTTATTTTGCTCCTAGACACTTCAAGCATATACTGGGGATCACAGTCAAGGTTTCGTACTGATTCTAAACCTCCATTTTTCAACTTTATGTATTTTAAGTCACATAGAAGCTGCCCAATGTTGAAACCTGCGGTAGAGGTTAGAATGCGGTAGAAGAATCAAATAGATAAAAAGATTATGTTATTGTGGCACGTAAATTGCTTATCAAAAATGTGTCCTCTGGTAAAAACCTGGTAGGACGCAAAGAGCTAACAATTTGGTATCAATTTTCGCTATCAAGCAGCATCAGATATTTCGTATTTTTATATAATTACTTATTCGGTAATGACGTGCGGATGGTCAGTAAGTCACAACACTTGTCACGCAAGAACGTCATAACAGCATAAATATTTCGCTTCAAGCCTCAATCGGCTATACATATGCTATGGACAGTTTCGAAAGAATACCTTTTCTTTTTAATTTGATTAACCTCCACCCTCTATAATGATAAATAATGATCTGCTTTTGCGTATACCTATATTGCGACTCAAGTGTCATGCTAAAGGGACTGAAAAGTTTGATCTTTACAAAAAACTACGCTAAGTTTTTCTTTCACTTACTTTCGAGTGTTGCGGGGCTCTATTGTATATCCTAGAAAAGACCATGTTTGTGTCGTTGTATCGAATGGAACAGCTGGTCGCGCTTAGAACGTTTCCTTTGGTGTGTGGTGTTCGCGTATTTTAAAGATTCAATCTTAATTGATTTCTTGTTTTTATTGAAAATCTATTTTTATTCACTTAAAAGGACGAGCATGATTTAAAGCTTAGTTAAAATATTACAAATAGATCATTGAATGAGCAGTAAACACATGATTGTCATCCGCTTGTCCCAGAAACTAGAAAAAGTTCCAAGTAAACATTTTTAACTAAAGAGGTATTATAAATTGGATAATGTCTGCTTTTAAGAATTCGCTGATGGAAACTTTACAGAGCAGTGGTTCGACAGACATTGACGAGATGAGTGTCTGTCAATCAGACCCAGTTTCTTCAATTTCGAAATCGCAGATAGGTCTGATAGCAGCGACTGCAACTGGAGGAGTTGCTACAGGTCTTTTGGCGATCTGCGGACCTTTTTTGGCGCCTGCCTTTCGCAGAATTTGTTTACCGTACGTTCCGGCAACGAATACGCAGGCAAGTGTTTTTTTTTAACAAATACATCATCAATGTATTACTCTAATATTTGAAAACACAAAATGCATATGACAGCGGTGCTCTGTCGAGGAGTGTATTGTGAACGTATTTTCTCGATCAACTTTATTTAGTCTATTTTATTATATACTTTTATTGCAATAAAACTCTGCTTTAATAGCTTTATGTTTAGTTTTCTTCAGTTGTAAAGTTTAATTCGTATTTTAATTGTGGGCGCTTTGTATGGCGATGTTGCACTTGACGGCCTCAAACTTCGCTGCTCGAACCATTAGGACGGTTATCTGTTTCAAATATCTTTCACAATATTATTCCATAAAACGCTCATGAAAGATGCAGTCATATATTTATTTCAGGTTTCGAACGTTGTTCATGTCTTACGAGGTCGTCGTTGTAAAAGCATTGTAGACCTCGGTTCAGGAGATGGCCGTGTTGTAAACTCGCTAGCAGCTAGTAGAAGTCTTATCGGTAAGACAGATATAAACGCAGATCTATCTTGAACTTTTTTCTTCTATATTGATGTCGGAGAATTAGCCAAAGACTCAAAACGGGTATCCACTGAAAACTGAAATTTTCAAAGCGTCACTCTGTTATACAGAAGTTAGCAACATCTGAATACACGAGATTTCATAAAAGGTTACTCAGTTCATTCAGCGAAATTATGAATTATATTTTAGATATTATTGTAATCATAACAAATACCCAGAAAAATATCATTTAACATATCACAAATTTGCATATTTGTGTGCATAAAGAAGTTATTAAAACAATGATTACCATATTTTTTAACTTCTTTTTTCATGTCATTACCGCTTCTTTAGGTGGTTCGGAATTTGTTGGTATAGAGCTAAATCCATGGTTGGTACTCTATTCACGAATCGCTGCTCTTCGAACCTTAGGTGTAAAATCTGAGGTACAATTCAAAAGACAGGACCTCTGGAAGTATTCGCTTAATCAACACGACACGGTTGTTGTCTTTGGTGTTGAGTGTATGATGGAAGAGCTGCAGCTGAAGTGCGAACAGGAACTTGAAAAGGGTAGCACAGTTGTGGCTTGCAGGTTTCCCTTTGAGGCCTGGAAACCTAAAAAAGTATACGGAGAAGGTGTCGATACCGTTTGGCTGTACGAGCGCTAACGCCATAGACAAAGTAGCCAAAATAGTCCACCTCAGTTTTAAAACTGCAAATGTCGATGGCCTAGCATGGCATCACTTTATAACGTTTGCTAGGGAAACTAATTGTGTAATGATTGTATAGATGATAAGTAATGTTTGAAATAATAAAATGCTTTTTATGTAATTTATCTACTCATATTGATTCTTCATTTTTAAAATACAATGGTGTGCATCACTCGGGCTTCGGGACCATAGTAAATGACTGCTTATTTTAGTAAAAGACAATGATGCTTTTATTATGTAATAAAACGAAATAAAGTTCGCAATGTACCAGATCGCTAATTGAATATTATTATGATATATACAAAGCAACAAAGAAAAGTACTTTTATTTGACCGAAGACCGTTGTTATTTGTCTGCACTATTTATAACTTTTAAAAGTCGTTCTACCTGACCTTTCTGATCAAGAAGCTAAATTTTTCGTTCCTGAAATAGAATGTTTTACGCTTTTTTACTAAAAAAAAAACAACGTCTTCCTAACTATGGTTAAATGTTTATTTGAAAATATGTAGTGCGTGGGGTTCGAGGTCGAATGACTACGTCTAAAGCTGTTTAGGCATTTTCGCGTAATAGAATTACCGTAAATATATTAACATTTTCGTATTCGGTTTGATAGCTCAATTTCTTTCGGATAGGTAAACTCACAGCGAACAAATACATGTGCTGAACGACGGGCGCTAGAAGCCTAATACGAGATTGATAAAGTCTTTGTAGGTAACGGGCAAGAAGCAGCTGGACCTCTGATGCTTTCTCCACAGGTATACTCCTAATTAAATAAGCACTCAATGCATATATCTGTCATCATCTCTGTATTTTCGCGCTGTACGAATTTATCAGAACATACTTTGATGAGAAGTCTTTCGGAGTGAACTAAGAGTCTTTTATCTGCGTTATGCCGCTCTAAAAATGTAAGCTATAATTTTTGCTCTTTTTTTTTTACCAGCTGCCGCTTAATTATTCTAAGACTGAATGCTTTGTTTAGAATATACGTATATTTGGTGTTTATCCAAAGTGCATTATTAGTGCGTCCATTCTGACAATAGTTCTATTGTAAATAACTCGAAGTACGTTTTACTACTTCCGAAAATGCAGAATGTGTATCGCAATCAGCTTTATTACTTTCAGATATTTATTTTCACTATTATTGTCCACTGTTTTCGCGCCGTTGGTTTGAATATTCCGCCACTGAGTAGTGTTACGACAGTTTCGGTCTCCTTCTGTTGTTTATGAAAGAGATTAGGCTTACCAGTGTTGATAGAATCTAATAACGTGCGGTGTTGAGTTTAAGCTAATTGTTTATTAGGTTCACGCAGAAAGGTTCGAGCCTAAATTAATTATTAATTGTTAAGCATTTAAGATCGAATTATTTGGTATTATGCAAATTAGTAATAATCAATCCTTGCAGACCCCTACAGTTTGTCCAGATATTGCAGGTAGGAGCAGGACGTGTAATTTTCCTTTAGTGCAATTTGCCTGTGTCCGTAAGAGTGCTATTGGGTAAGGTGGCTGCTTACTGTTATCATTTTACATTGCTAAAATTAATTATGATGAGCAGGTACGCGGATTTCGGTGTCAAGTTATTATTGTTTGTCAGATCATGTGTAGCTGTCTGTTTTGTAGAATATATGCAGACTTCATTAAGTCTACGACCGTGGACATTATAATTCGATAATGGTTTAGTCACAAATGGGTTTGCAGGTTGTTTTAGAATGATTTACGATAGGACAATGGGGTGTAAAAAGTGTTCAAACATATACATGGAGCTCTGTGTAAAACAAGCAGGGGTTCTTGGCACCAGTCACAAGAATTTATCGAGCAGAATTGAAATACTATACACGTTTTAGTAACCTAATATCTTTTTTTTTTTTTTAAGTTAAACCAAACTGTATGAAGGGTAACAGGAAATCCTTAGTTTGCGGCAAGCTGGAAATGGGAAATAAAAATGCAATTGTGTCTTACTTAAAAGGGGTAATTCTGCACGAACATTATGAAGAACCGAATGTGCCATCGTCCTTCTCGTGGAATGTAAACCAGCTTTAAGGGACTTCTAAGCATTTTTTTTGAGAAAATTTCTTAAACACAAGTTGAAGCAGCGAATATTTTGGTGCGACAATTTTTTTCAAAATCATTTTTTTAGAGAAAAAAACATCACAGACATGTTTCCACGCAAGGTTCGACGTCATTTGTTGATGCCAATTAATAATAAATCTCCATGAATCGAATAAAAATGCAAAACATCTTTTTATAACCTAGGTAGATATTTCGGAATGAAGAAGGCCAAAAACTGAATAAAGTAACGGTTTCGCTTAGGTGACTCTGAGAAAAACATTTCCTAGATAGAGATCTATATAAGAAAGTATTTTCTGGTTTTAATCGCAAGTGCCTGGTAAGTTTAATCGGAAGATAATTTATTTGCTTACAGCAATCTCAATTTGCGAGTCGAAAATACCGTTCAAAGTGAAAACGTAACACGGTATTTTACGAAGCATGCTTATATTTTGCTATAAATCGATAGATCTCGACGAGCTGAGTAAAAATGCTATAGACGTCTCTATATGTAAAAAGGATATCTCGGCTAAAAAAAGGGTGGAAAGCCGACTGGTCGCATCGTTCCACCTATGTAATAGGCTAATATATGTAATGTAACAATGAAGTAAAAATGAGTTCCAAGATGATGTGAATATTTAATAAACGTCAATTGTGAAGTAATGCTTTATACAACGGAAATGTGTTCTATAGTATAACAATCAGATTCGGTCGTATTAAAACAGGCTGACGAAATAATAGCTAGCTAAGGGTAACGGATTACCTTGTCAGCGTCGTGGGATGATTTTTTGTGTGTACTAAGCTGCGTGTAGCATTAACGAATTCAATTAAATCAATCGATATAAGACAAGCACGGACCGAATCCCGCAGGTAACGCTCTGCTAATTGCTAAATACCCAGACGCTTTTATTTTTTTCGGAAATTTTTATCGGAAAATTAGATATATATAGTTTACGGTTTTTCTTTGTCGTGTACTATGAATGGGGTTGACTAATTACAGTTCAGATTATCTTCACCGTTAAGTCAAATTAGCCATTTAATGAAACTTTTTATATCAAAGATTTGGGTTATATGATTAGTCCCTTTCTTTATAATACCGTTTCATTGTGTTCTGTCATCTAATTTCCCAAAAACAAGTTTCTACATGTATAATACTATCTGGTCTGAATATTGCCTTCCTTTCCTTTTTTGAAGGAAAACTTTTTTTTTTTGAGAAAAAGAATAACTTTTGCTTGAAGTATCGACCTAGAGGGAAAACTTGCTATTAAAGTGATTTCAATTTCTATCGTAGATGTTCTTGTGGTGACGAGGCTGTTTTCGTATCCAGCCATCCCCACATAGTCAGACCCGCTTGAAAGATGGTTTAATGCATTCTGTCATAACGTAATCTTACCTGCCGAATAATTGGACTCAACATCGCTTATTGTAAAGATTTGAAGCCTCTAAGAATGGACCGCTTACATTCGGATTTGGAAATTGAATTATTTGGATGCGCTTGGCGGATTTTGACGAAACTAAAAACGACGTCACAAATGCAGTTCGTCATTGATTATCAAAGTTTAAGTATGGTCGTTGTTTCTACGGAAACAACTTCTGACTAACAACGGTCAGTCTTATTTACTCAAAAATAGACTGACCACCTATTTTAGTAAAATGGGACCGTAATCTTTTGCTAATACCATTTGACCTTTGCGCTTGCTTCGAGCCATCCCAGCCTGTAGTAATGCCACCTTTTTTTTTATCACACAATCAATATTAGCGCTTCGTGTTGTAAACCGTTTGCTCAATGTACTTTTATCGTAAATCCACGCTATTCTGTGGACGTACGATCAGTTGCATTTACGGCATATTCCCCAATAACTGCATTTCGTAGGTTTACTAATGCCAAATTTTACGTCAGTGCTCCATGCCCTTGGTGAATCAGGAGTAATAAAATAATGACGATCAAAAGATAATGCTGTTGCTTCTTAAGAAAACAAAACGTAACCGCACACTTTCACATTAAAAAATTTAGCTATACTGCTATGTATCCACTCAAATTTTTGTGCAGCAAGCAGATGGTCAGCTTCTACATGTTTTTGAAAGAGATAGATTCTCATTTTAAGGCAAGAAGGGCATAAGTCCATCTAGTAAACGTATCAAAAGGATGTTTAAATATTGTATTATGTTGGTTTTGATATTATGTTACGATGAATGGTAAATCATATGCAGTGTTTAGGTTTAGTCCGTGAATGTAGGAATTTCAATATGAATAAGAATTTTATCTATTACTCAAACAATTTTAAGGAAGTCAATTTTGAGCAGATTCGTTGCAGCCCTATACAATTTTTGATACTGATGCATTTTCAGGATCATTAGGAACGCGAGACTAACCCGAGGCAGCAGGTGCGATGTCCAGAAATATTAGTAGCCGCGGCCGCGGACTTCGAAAAGCAAATACGGATGCTTCGAGTGAAACAACCCCGAATCCTCCAGAGCCATCGGCTGCGCCACCTCCTTCCCAGGCTCCGTTAAGCAGAACTCAAGGTTTAAGTTCTGGCGGCGCCGTTGGCCGAGGTCGAGGTTTATTCCGTGCAGCTGCCTCTTGCAGTAATCCATCCGGCCTTCTGGAGCCTGTTCCCTCAAAGTCATCAGAGCTTCCTCCTGCTTCAGGTTCTGCTACAGGACTGCAGGCAACTGAAAAGGATCGGGAACAAAGCCAAGGCGTTCAAGGTAGACGTCGTGGTCGCGGATTGGCTGGAAAAAGCATTGCTCCCGTTGCTCCCACACATCCTGCGCCGGATTCCTCACAGAGTGGTCCCACATCCTCAGGAGACTCAGCCGTTTGCTCAAAAGAAAAGAAAGACGCATTTAACCTTCAGGAGCCAACCACAGTACGAGTACTGCAGTAAACTGACTAATTTTTATATCACTCACGTAATCACTCACAAAAACCCGATATTTACATGTGTGGACTAATTGCATCGAAATCTTCATATATATTTGTGAAAATAAAGCATATACTTTCTTGTGTAATGTAAGCAGACTTTTTCAGAACCGTAAAGCAAAGCTTGTTTTACTTGTGAGTACTGACTGGCATAGGCAATCTTCCAAAATTTTAATTCCTACACCACAAAACCTTTACCTTAAGCCTGACTTCGCTGCTACAAATGTCATATTTGTTCAACAAAAAATAGTCGTAAAAATAATAATAGTAGTATTGATGATTATGATTATGCACCAATACTAATATTTCCTAAAATGTTTCTGATTTTAGAAGAGAACGAGTTATTGATACTTTGGTTGACGGTGCCTATTTCCAGGTATTCGCACATCTTCCCAAAGTAGGCCAAAACTCATTCCGCGATTACAGAAAACGAGGTACCCAAGGCAAGCCAATAAAGCTAATGTCCAATTGCTATGGACTCGAGTTTCCAGATGCCAATTGGTACAAGTATGATGTACAGATCCACAGGGGTAACGAACAGGTAAATCTGCACGATACATGCAGCAAGCGGTGATTGTATCAAAACTGAAAAGCAAATGTAGTTATTGCCCTATTCTATTCTGCGCTATTCTATTTGTAAATTGTGTTGTTCTTATTGTTCTTTAACAGCAAGCTGTTGAGTTGGAGCATCTGGATACGATAAAGCTGAAAGATCGAATCGCGTCCAGAGGTCTGTGTCGCGATATCATGTTGCACGTGTTCAATAAACATGGAAGTACGTTGGGCCACGATCTACCAGCGTACGATGGAAGAAAAATTCTCATCTTAAATCGCAAGCCGTTTGACGGTGAAAGATATTTCACTGTACGCCTGCAATCACCTTTTTTATAATATCTCAGTCGAGTCTTTAACGAGTTCCCATTTACAGGACCATGATTTTCCTGCAAGGAGTCATTTATATTGACTAACGTGAGCCCTGCATTAAATGTATCCTTGGCAGATAATTAATAATATCATTATTTTTAATCCTGTCCCGTTCATCAAGTCTCATTTTACTTAGCTACGTGCTTTAGAGCCCCTCGAATAATACTAATACACTGATAAAGAAGAGCTCGATGCAAACAACGCTCGAGCTACGTTTTGTCCTACTGCGGGATGTCACAAAACAAGATTAGGGAATGCTTTCTGATCAGCCCACATTAAACAGTCGGACCTAACAATATTCACTATGATCACATAAAATGATATTTCTTGTAAAGATTGGTATGATCTATTAAGGCGGCACATCAGCTTTGCCATACGGTGACAAAAGGAATTTTGATGACCGGTATATAAACGTATTTAAAACTAGCCTAGACCTGTGTGAAGTCTAAAATGAGCTGAAAGACTAAAATTAAAAGTTAACAAAAGTGTTCTACCATTAAATACATATCAGAAGCCGTTTTATCGTGTATATTTAGTTCACCTCTTGCAGCCGATTTATCCAAGCACTACCGTATTGGCCTTTTTCGAGCCTGTTTCTCTCTTAACTAGTGAATCAAGTATAGTCATAAGAGTAGGAGTAAAGCTTAAACATATTGAATCACCACTACTAGAAATCGTTCGCTCTTCGGAGTGCGTAAGAGTAACGCCTCTTTCCTTTGAGATGTACAAAAGTTAATGAGTTTCTAAGCTTTCTAATTATTTTTCGCAATAGGTCAACGTACCGACACCCAGAGGGCGCACGGTGGAGTACACGGTGAAGCTGATGCATGTCCTGGATATAGACGTGAGTTCAGTCGACCTTTTCTATAAGGGGAAGACAAACACGCTGGATCCTGAAGTACTACAAGCAGTGAACATCGTCGTTGACACGTCCTTCTCGAACAAAAAATGGGTTGCTGTGAATCGTTTGTACTACGAGCCAGGCAAAGTCGGTAGGCCTCTCGGCGGGGGAAAGGAGCTCCGCGAGGGGATCTATACAGCGACTATGTACGCCGATTGGAAGCCTCTGCTCGTTGTCGACAAAGCTCGTACGGTGTTTGCCGCTGCGTTGCCACTTATCGACTATGCAGCTGATGTTCTCGGAACTTCAAGGGAGGCACTCACCATGAGCGGCCTCAATGCTGGCCAGGTGGAGACGTTAAAGAAAGAGGTTAAATCACTTATGGTCAAGCTGGAACATACAACGTACGGGCGCACGGTGAAAATTTCTGGGATAACTAGAACTCCAGTGAACCGGACCATGTTCATGGATGAACAGAAACAAGAAAAAAGCGTCGCGGCCTATTTTGCACAGACCTATCCTAAAACGCCTCTTAGATATCCAAATTTGCAATGTATTGAGGTCAAACGTGCCAACCTTACAAAAACTGATTATTTTCCGATAGAGGTCTGTATCGTCAAGCGCGACCAACCATCGTGGAAGAAGTTGAATCCCGACCAAACTGCGAAAATGATCAGAGTATCACAGGAGAAACCTCATGAGCGATTTCAGTTTTTGCGAAACAACATAGGAACGATTGCATCAGCCAACGAACTAAAAAAATTTGGTCTAAGACTGTCGGATACGCCTATCATGACGGACGGTCGGACTCTAGAGAGTCCTGGTATCCGAGTTGGTAACCGATCGATTGAAGTCAGGGCGGGCAGCTGGCAGCTGCCGGAGTTCCATATAGCAGCCGAAGTTCCTCAATGGGTTGTAGTAGATTGCGCTGACCTACCCCGGAACTACATAGATAAATTAGCTAGTATGTTAAAACAACAAGGTGAAAAAATGAAAATGCGTATTTCATATCCAACCAATATATTGGCTCGACCAAACTGGCGCATGCCTGCCACGACAAAACAAATGATGGAAGAAATTAGAGGGTGCCACCGAGACCCATCAAAACCACTTCTTGCTGTGATCGTACTTAGTAGGAATACCAGTTATTCGGAAATCAAGAGTCTGACCGAGACTAACGAGAACTTCAAACTAATAGTAACACAATGCATTAAATCTGATAACGTGAGAAATGAAAAAAAGCTAAACTTTTCTTTTGTGGACAACCTTTTCAAGAAAATTAATGCAAAACTCAACGGCGTCAACAGTATCGTCCAACGCGTGCCTAAGGTATTTCAAGAAGAATATATAGTATTAGGTGCGGACGTCACACACCCAAGCCCGGGAGACATGAATCCGTCCATCGCTGCTGTCGTCGGCTCAATAAATAACGATTCGTCAAAGTACTGTACCGAAATCAGCGTACAATGCAGCGAAAGCAGTAATCGGATTGAGTATATTATCAACCTTAGGGAAATTGTTCTGAAGCTCCTTAAAGCCTATGTGAAGAGAAACGATGATCGAAAGCCAAAGTATATATACTATCTTAGAGACGGTGTATCGGATGGCCAGTTCCAAGAGGTTCGTTACCGCGAGGTGCTCGCCATTCGACAAGCCTGTTACGATCTGCAGGTCCATTACCAGCCGTCAATCACAGTACTGGTCGCTCAGAAACGCCACCACGTTCGTTTTACTGTGGTTGATAGCCGGACAGGAACGAGAAGTGGCAATATCCCTCCCGGAACTTACATTGATAGGGATGTGGTTCATGCGAAGAACCATGATTTCTATATGTATACTCATGAGGGTCTCATAGGAACGTCACGGCCTACGCATTATCAGGTACATTATTATAGAAAAATAAATGGAGTAGTTCATGATAAGTCTTTGATTAATTTTCTAATCACATGATTGGTTGACCTGAGTATGTATATCGCACGGACGGAAGCACCTGCCTCACTATAATTATTAATACCCGTAGTTCCAGTTAGTGCAGCACATGCGTTACTTAGTGATCAATAATAATACCTGAGCATTTTGCAAAAAACAGGCTAAATCTTTGACAAAAACTATTTTATTATTGAAAGGTAGGGTAGTGTATATCAAATAAGGATGAACACTGTTCTGTCAGCGAATCAACGGTGCCCTAGTGGTAGCTCAAAGCTTATCATATTGGCCTTTGGGGTTTAAAACAGATGTTCTTAAATTTGTTGACTAATATAATTTGCTCTTCCAACTTTACCTTTTCTATTTATATTCAGTATGGTTGACGTTTTTAATTTGTCTACGAATCCACCTTCGTGCGAAGATGTATGCATTTTTTCGGTTGATACATGTATGGATGAGTGGGAACGAATCGTATTTTACTGCTTACATACTGGCATTGTTTGTCTCGTGTGTTCTTCAGCTCATTCACGCGGACAAGCCGATTTCCACAGATGAAATAACAGAGATGATCTACTATCTGACGCACAACTATGCTCGTGCATCGCGTTCCGTCTCGATTCCAGCTCCGATTTACTATGCGCATCTTGCTGCATTTCGGTGGGTTAAAAATTTACATTCATTGCATATAAATAATTATGTCAAAGAAGACAATCCGTAGAAATTGCACGTTCATCTTACGTTGATTGATTCGAGGTCCATTAGCGTTCTCCCGTACTCAAATAATCAATTCCAATTTTATAGCGGCATCGCCAATATAGCCAGGTGCTAAGTTGTTGCCTGAAGGACAGCGAGAGATCTTTGAATAAGCATAAGGAAGAACACGGGGAAAAATTGTTTGGCTATGACCTATCCTTTAAAATTATCTACACTAATAATATCTATCACTTATAATTTAGTGATTTCCTCTGATGCGTACTTTATTTTTGTCGTTAGGAATACACAATGTTATCATACAATGGTTGAAATGAAGCGATTCTTTTTCGTCACTTTTATAGGGCTAAGGAACATCTCAAAGCCGATCCCACGCTTTGCGGGTCCTCATCAGTTTCTTCAGGCTCCGATGATATACGTATCGACCTGAGAAAATATCAGCAGGCTTGCGATGTCAACGATGCAACAAAAGACAAGCTCTATTATGCTTAGGGCACTTTCACACCGAAATAGCTGAAAAATGACAATGTGTATACAATAATGATCAGCTGGAAATCGTTGCGGACTCATGTTATCTCTTGAGATGTTTTTAACAGTCCACGACGAATTTCGTCCATAACAAACAAACAGCAAGACGACATGTTGGTTCTTGGATATTTTTTTTCAAACATCTAGTTTATTACATTTAAGGCAAGACAATAAGTCTTGCCTTAATTGACGAATGAACATACATTATTAAATACAATTCAGAATAAAGCGGATTTGTCATATTACTGATGACATACATAATAACCTATAGTCAAACCGATCGAATGTGCGTCAAAATTGCTATTTTTAGTATTTTAAATAACAATCTTCGATGAAGTTTATCAAAGTAATATACTACGAAAAATCGAATAATTTAATCCAAATAAATCAAAATCGTCGAAAAATTCTCATGGGCATATCTCACGTTTGTACCTTACACAAACACAAGTTTTTATTGCTCACATTAACGGTGGCGATATGCTTCCTCCTTTCAGCGGATTGTAGCGCAACATGTTTTTTTAAATATTTGGTGTCTTTAAGTGGTTTGCTTTAAGTTCTAAGTTAAAGTATATGTGAAAACAGTTACTCTTAATGTATTCACTGAAAATAGGATAATTATGTAATGAAAGTAGCTTATACAGACCTCCATGCTGACGATGAAATTATTTAGTTAGCATAAGCTAATTTTATTTAAATAACCGATAATCCGGTTATAATTTGGTAATTAGTAGCTATTATCAAATGACTGCTGACGATTCGGATGTGGGTAATGTTTAAAGCACTTCCTTGACAACAAAAGAACATTGAATATGATTTTGAAGCTACGTTTGCTCATTCTTCTATCTATAAAAATTATTCACCTACTTCTCGCTTGACACGTTTCTAGGCCCGATCGAGGAATCGCTTTAAATATTGCAGAAATTGTGTTTTCGAAAGTACGTTCCCTGGATCTTGAAAACAAGATCGAAGAATTACAAAACGTGGCACAAAAGCAATAGTTAGATAAAGTTCGTTGATAATGATATTAACGGCAGATAACGCATTAATTAAGCAAAAAAATGAAAAGTCAGCTTTTTGTGGTTTGTGTGACTTCTGATCGTTAGGCGTTTAAATTATAGAGTAGCTGATCAATATTATGAAGGTAATCTTTATCTTTGAGTTTCCATTGGCCTTTATAGATCTGAGTGTATCTATGTGTGTCCACCTAGAGTGAACGAAGTGTGATATATATGTATATATATATGCATATACATATATGTATATCATACGCCATCAACTGCATGCGCTCGAGGTTCACTGCTATTTAAATTAGTCACCTAATATATATATATATATATTTCGATTCGATAGATTAGTATGGATGTCCGAGTACTGATGGCTATTCGATCCCAAAACTTTGTACATGAAAAGGAGAAGCAGAGATTCATGGTTATCTAAACAGAAGGCCTTTTTAAATTATTTCAAAGAATTAGCACGATTAAATACTATCATAGCCGTCTTTTCTGCTTCATAATTTCGGATTTTAAATAGCTGAATTCAGTGAAAATATAATTTGCTTGAAAGTACCAGCACTTTACAGCAATAGGATACTGATGGCCATATAAAGACTGGTCCATCGTGTTACGTGTTCTTCACTTCGGGTAGTAAATGGTGCAGTAAACTTTGATCAGTGTCCTTTCCCATTTCACAGAGGGGTATCGTACTCAATTGTACCACATCGCGTGAGGGCCCACAGGTACAAGTCTTTACAGTAGCTTTTCCAACAAATCCTGCATAACTTTGGATGAGTTAGCATTTTGTTGTCATGGCAACAGCAAGTGATCACAAGGGGCGCTATAGTCGCACATACAGTGTTCATTACACAGACGGACTTGAATCATTCCCAGCGCTCAATACAGTCGTAATGTGTGTGCTTACATAAAGCACGTGTTAAACTCTCCGACAGTCTCGTTAGATAAAACTGAAGATCTGTTACAGAGAACTCTGTAACATGAAGCTATGATGTTCATTGTCTGAAGAACAGAACGTTGTGATACACTATTCTAATGGTAATTGATAAGTTCTCCTTGAATAAATTCTCGACAACAGAATAATGCGACGATGTCTCACGCTACCCCGATGAACGCTGTATTCACATTCAATCTTGCTCACAAAATTCTTCCAAGAAGAGTCGCCATTGGACGTTTTGATGGGACTCATCCTTGCATTGTAGCTGCGACATCTGCTGACAAGGTGAGTACGTAACGGAACAGGTTTATATGCTTTCTTAGGCTACGCAATAGTAGTTAGCTATATAGCTGAAAAGAAGCCGAACTATTCAGAGATTCATTGTAGAATCTCTGAAAGCGAATTTGTTTGTCATTCCTTACATGCATTCTCTAATCATTTTCAGACGTCATTTTCCTCAGTACTGGATCGGAAGATAATATTTTATGTTGAAGTTAACCGTTTGCAACGATAGATTTTGGTTTAATTTGGAATGGTCGCCTAGAGAGATGAGCTGTATTTAAAATTTACTTTAGTCGCTAAAATCAAGCTTAGAAGCTTAACGTTCGATGGGGTCATGTGCGGGCAGAGGCTCCAGTACATTATGGATTTATAAGCGCTCTTCAATATATCACTTGAATCTGAAAGAGATATCGCGAAAAGTATGTATCAGCAGAATATGTATATAGATATTCTGTTCTGGGTGTTTCTTAAATGCGTAAAAACACTGAGTTAAGACACGTGTTTGTATGAATTATAATTTATTTCCATAATTTTAGTGCTTGATATTGATTTCCGATTTCTTCTATTATATTTATGAAAAAAGCGCACCTTTATGCGATTACCACTTCTGTCCAAATGAAGCTTTTAGGACGGGCTTTTTTTGAACATGCAACGGTTATTTCATAGAGACTATTTTCATACCCATGGTTTCAATAGTTTCGTACAAGACGATGGGACTGCAGCACCGAATGCCTTTGAACAAGCTTCAATCCGTATTTGCAGAACAAATCCAGGCTTAGCAGATGGAGAAGGAATAGTGCATATGAGAGAAATGGCGAAAAGTATTCATTGTTTTCTTTTGTGCCTTCCGTTCACGATTGCAAGATATTTGTTCACAATCCGCACACGAAAGCGAAGCGTGAGGGGGATCGCTGGCTAGTAGACCCCACAGCAGCAGCAGCGGACGTTGCTCTGCTTAACTTCAACCAAAAGGTGGCTACCCTGGCGACTGGGACTCTACGTCCAGGAGCCGCGGAGGAGGTGCTCGTAATCGGGACGCCAAATGCAGTGCTTGCTTATGATGTTGAAAACAATAGTGATCTGTTCTACAAAGAGGTTAGTCCTGTAGCGATCGACTTCGCTTAATATGAAGTTTTTTTTGAAGGGCGAGCTGGTATATCTATGCTTAAAAGGTATTTGAAGGAACTAAAAAATCTTCATGAGAGACCGATAAGGAAAAAGAATGAAAATTCACGAGTTTACAACTGAAGCATAAATGACGAAAAAGTAGTACATTTTTAACTATAAAAGGAAATGTCCACTTTTACACTATTGAGAATATGGGTTTTTAAAGAAACTGACACATATATTCAATGTTTGGTTTAGAATCCAATTTTAGAATTAGTTACATTATCAGTGAATCAAAATCAGAATCAGAGTAAGTGGCTTCTGTCTGAAAAAAATATTTATTTTTTTTTTGCCTTTGTTTTAACTTCAGACGTGTGTTAGATGTTATTTACTAGTAGCCATTACTTTAGCAAACCATAAGATATTGTCCGAAAGTCGTACCCTGAAATACATAAGTCTGCCAGTGCACACTAGAGATTGATTGCTTTGTTTTGACCTATATTTACCTGATTTTTCCGATGTTGGTGACGAAATCGGGCAGCTTGCTGATGGAGCAAACTGTTTATGCGTTGGGCACCTGGGCACAATAACGTCTCCACTGGCACTCGTTGGGGGCAACTGTTCGATTCATGGTTTCGACTACGAGGGTAATGATGCTTTCTGGACGGTGAGTGATTTGAGTTCGGCGAAATTCGATTTACGTTTCTTGTTAGCACGCATAAGGTGCCAGATAATGTCATGTAATGTACTAGCTAATTAACAGCGGTGATGCTTAGCCTTTTACGGCATCGTTTGGTTTACTACATTCATGTGGTCTTAATTTAATTATTATTAAAAGATAGGCTCCCGCACTTTAAACGGCAATTACTGGGAGAGCGTTTAGTGCTAGAAGTTGTAATTTATAGACGTATTAAATGTGCTCCTTTTTCATATTCGACGAAACAGGTGACTGGGGATAACGTAACTTCGATGTCACTCATTGACTTCAACGGGGATGGCCTGAATGAGGTATGCTTTGATGAGTGTGAGATAGATTCTTAATTAAAAAAGTGTAATTAACTATAAAAGGAAATGTCCACTTTTACACTATTGAGAACAGGGGTTTTTAAAAAAAAGTGATACATATATTCAATCTTTAGTTCAGAATTCAATTTTAGAATTAGTTACATTGTCAGGGAATCAAAATCTTAATATTTATAATAGTTATAAATTAAATAATAATTAAAGAAAGTGCTAAACTACGTTATCATACCTAACTTGATGTTTGTTGTTTTTAAATAATAGCGTTCGATAAACTTTGATTTTTAAACATTTTTAGATAAATTAGCTATTTATTCTTTAATAAGTATGCATGAATTAACCTTTGGGCTGTAATTAGCGATCATCTTGTAACAATTATGCCTGACGTAGTATTTCACAGATGGTGCACGTCTCTTACCCAAAAATACTGTGTGCTTAGATTTACACTCACGCCATGGTTAAAGTTCGACTGAAAGCTAATTTCTTTTTAGAAGTTGCACCTGATTGATTTATCGTTGTTATTGTTTAGCTGCTGGTCGGTTCTGAAGATTTCGATATTCGCGTGTTTCGTGAAGACGTCATTGCCATCGAGATGACGGAAACTGAAGCGGTTGTAGGCCTGTGTGCTCTTTCAGCGGAAATGTTCGCCTATGCCCTTGCCAACGGAACGATTGGCGTTTACCAAAGTAGTGGGGCTCGACTTTGGCGCATTAAGGTAACGTATCAGTTGTGAGAGACTGAACTTGGAATCACTGGCTGTATTGTGGTCGACACTTCACAGGTGGTATTCATATACACACACTTAGGGATGTTTATATATTGATAAGGCAGATGTTTAAGAAGCCTAATGCGTCATACAAGCAACAAGATTCCCATTCACAAGCGAATGTTCGAGATCATACTACACGTTTGATATATGACAAAGCTGTACATGCAATTAATGTACATTGAATTAGAAAACCAAGCGGTAGGGCATCATTGCACAGATTTTTTTCAAACCCTCGTCCTCACGTTATGTATACGTGGAAGAAGAAACAAACTAATTGAGCAAAGTTCGCCTTAACTTCATCTTATCAATTGGCGGCACTCAGTCGAAGAACCAACCGATGTGTATCGCGGCTTTTGATATTGACGGAGACGGGAAACCCGAACTCATCACGGGCTGGTCGAATGGCAAGGTGGACGCGCGTAGTGTTCGAACAGGCGAGGTGCTTTACAAAGATTCATTTGGCCATTCGATTGCTGGAATCGTTGTCGCAGACTATTGTCTTGACGGAACGGATCAGCTTATCGTGTGCTCCGTAGATGGAGAAGGTATACCGCATAATTATGTGTTCATCTCCATATAGAACTTTCGATCATTTTACAATGTCATGTATGAATGCGGTTAGCAGAGCAGAAGTAATACCAGAAATCGCCTTGAAATGTTTTACGGAAAATTCCTTTTTACTATACAATAACTCTGCCGACAATATGTTGAAATTTTGTGGAGCATTTTTGAAAAACATCTAACTAACAGGCGTTAAGCATTGACCACCCGACTTGCTGTAATTCTTATGTTCTGTTTCGAATTTGAACCCTATGAAGTACGTGGTTACACCGTCACTACGGCAGAGTATCGCCAACAACTAATGGACGCTAATTATGAGCAGGAGACGTTGCGCGAATTGAATCAGAAGAAACAGTCTCTGTTACTTGAACTCGCCAACTACGAACAGGCGAAGAAGCTTAGTGAAATGGGCGGCCCTCAACAAGCCCAGGCACTGGCCAATCAGGATATTGCTTGTATAGCTGTAAGTGGGTATACGACATTTGGAATCGAAATATTTTTGCGAGGAATCATCGGTTTATTCATTAGAGGTGAGAAATTATCTCAGACAATTTGCCTGGACACGCTATTGAAAAGCTGTTCATTAACGATAATTGCTTTCCGCTTTCAATGTATTAAATACAGGCGAATACACGTCTGAAGACTGGTTTGGCAATAAACATGGGCGGAGATGGGTTACAGCCGCACGTTGAAATTCTACTAGAAACCAACAATGACACGATTATACAGGCAGTCATTGTTTTCGCTGAAGGCATTTTCCAGAATGAAAGCCTTGTTATGTAAGTGATTCACGATAAATGATCCTGTTTAGCAGAACACACAAGATTGAATGCAACGAGGGGGAGACGGCATGATGTCCTTAGGTTGTCCTTATCTGAATTTCATTGAATGTTCCGTTTGCAGACATAACGATGATGCAGCAACGAATCAGGCCGTTGTTCCTTTAACCCCGCCTAGGGATGTGGAAGTGGATCTCCATATTAAAGCCTTCGTTGGCTATAAAAATTCGTGCGTATTTACGTTTAGCCTTGCTGCATGCTTACTGGAATGTTACCGTATTTGCCGGCTAACCCTAGAGACACGTTGTGGTCTGGATTCGAAGCTGGCATAGACAGATATGCACGCTTCGTTTCGTACTGAGAGTCAAACGTCCGATGGAATGCCTATCGGCGATACCGGACGGAGACGAATATTAGCCTAAGCAAGATAGCAATAGGGAATTTTTATTTTCAACCTTGTCAAGGATCACTCTCGCAAAGGGCCCTTGCTGCTCACTTTGAATATGAAAATGTGCTCAGTCTAAGAAGAGTTGAAACGAATATAATTTTGAACGCGCTAATGTTAAATGTATTATATAACAAAGGCAAAAAGTAAAACCGGTACGAAATTTGATGTATTTTCTGGAGCAGGCATCAGCTGCATGTTTTTGAGGTATCTCGTGCACTACCACGCTTTGCAATGTATACTCTATGCTCAGAATCACCTTCGTCGGATAACGAGGGTACGGTACGTTTCCAACTCAATGACAGACCGCATCGCGTGGCTCAATGGGTGAATCAAAGCTTCCTTCTTGAGCAGGAGATAACTGCGAAAGAGCAACTGCATCTCACCTTTCTCAGCCTCAGAGACTCGAAACTCGTCACGTTCGACATGGACTTTTCAGGACAGGTAGTCTGTTGTCGTGTTCGATGACTTACTCGCCGTCTAATATTTTCGTTCCTTTTTAGGCACTGCCCGGTCTGTCTGAGAATAAACTTGTTAAATAGATGTTTGGATCATTACAGAACTTGAGGAATGTCTAGACGTTTTTTGATTTTAATAATCCATTTAATGGCTAACCTATAAGACTCTGCTGAAAACCTTAGATGTTTCGATCATGGCAACAAGCGAAAGGACGTCGATATCAATAGAAGAATAATATTGGAATCTAGGAATTTGAATGTATTTAGTATAAAGTAACTAATAGCAATTACGGTACGTAAAAGGGCAATATTATTATATTTCTAAAATTGCTGGCAAAATCATTTGTAAAACCTTATTCGGCTATTCCGCGCTGTTTTACGAGCTTTTATAATTAGAACAAATAAATTAAAAACTAATTTACTCTGATTAAAAATACCAATTAGAGTCTATTTGTTTTAAGCTCGATGTCTCGTGACCAAAATAACTTGTTTTTGATACGGATTATATACACTTGATATACTTTACTATAACGTATTTGTATGGGATTTGATAAACGTCATGGAAACATTTGCAGATGACAATTCGTACCGAGTCAATGGAAATTGCCGGTGAGATGATTCAGTCTTTAACCTCGTTTCTGGGCATCGAAGAGCTGCAGTCCACAGCAGACTTTCCCACGGAAAATGGCAAACTTGTCGAGCTGATGGCTAAGATAGAGGAGTTTCAAAGTGCGAAAATGAGCATGTCAGCCCAGATGGCTGACAACTCGGCACATATCAGAGCACTTATCATTCGAGCAGAAGACGCACGCCTAATGAAAGACTTGTAAGTTGTCATAACGTCGAGAACTACAATTCTACGGCTGTTTAATGTCCGATTTTATATGATAACAGCGAGGCTGTGAAGTACAGTCTCTCCTTTATCACCAAACTTAGCACACATGTCACGATCTAGAATATAAATATAAGAACAATCAAATTTCTTAAAAAAAAATAGCGAGTGAGATTTGGCCAAAAAATAGCTAGAAAAGACACGAATGGCCGCCTTCCTCGAACGTTAAGTGTCAAATGAAATGGTAGTTCGTTTAATATGTTGTACTCGGTTTGACGGCCACACTCTGAGAATTTTACGCCGAAGATACTTCGTACGTATTACTTTGTTGTTGAAAGCATAGCCGACGCATCATCCTGCACAAAGGTTTCCGATGAGCGTTATCTAAAAGGAGCATAACTCTGACTCAGTTCAGTTCTCGATGAATGCGTATCCCAGAGAAAGGATCGCTTTTGCAAAATCGACGGGCGCCTGAATCTCGACTTTACTTGTAAACCACAATGATTATAACCAAAGAAGTGCTTAACGGCAGCGCAAGCAGGATTGTTACAGCGAAAAGCCGCAAATGAAGAAAAAGTGCTTATTCATCTTTGATAGTTCATCTTCAACAACAGGATGTGTATATAAATTTATAACAACGTGACCGATAGTAGTCATTCAAATGAATTTTAACCCTAACAGTTTACGGCGCAAATACCAATTAGCCTGCAGGACCAATCAACGGGCAAAGCTGCCTATCCTGTGTATTACGAAGCAGTTGTTTATACAGGACGTATTGCAGTTACCTCTCACTTACTGCAAATACACTGGTAGTTATGCTTATAGAAGCGTACGTTTGTGTTCAATTTGTGGAAGAGAGACCAATTGCAAAATCGGTGACAACGTAAGGCTTCGTTAGGTCTGGATTCGAATAGGTTACCTCATTTTCAGATTTAGTAATTTGTGCGAAACTACTATCAAAATATCACCAAGATCTGTTTTGACCCTATAAGATACCACTTAAGCATGGAAAAAGTTTTCTATAGAGGAGAAACAATATATGCAATACTTTTACTCCCAACCTTTTCTTGTGTGGAAAGACCTATAACGTGGTTCAAGCTACGCAAATGCTCTGCAAACTCAGAAAATACCGTAACATGTGTTCAATTTTGATAGGACTTCTTTCTACTGAAAAACCTAAATAGTTATAGGAGCCAGCATCTAATAAAGATAACCTAACCAAAATACAATTTTTTTTGCATATATGCCACCGTTGTATGTAGTGTGTGATAAGGATCAGAGATGGTCATCTACGATTACCACAAAGAGCACGTTATCATAGGATTAAATCTGATCGGTTTAATCAGCCTAGTTGATTGGCTTAGACCTCCGACGGTTAATCCTTTTTTATTTTTACCTCTGTATCCTAGAAAGCTCTGAAAAAAGAGCTTTTGTTGGCGATAGATTACGTTTGAATGTCTGTTTTTGAGAGAAAATAATATTTTTTTTGTAGTACTTTTGTGAACATGGAACATTTAACGCTGGTGCTCGATGCGGTGGCGGTTTGTCAGACTATGAAGCTTCAGGAAATACAGCGTTAGACCAATAGAGGGCCCCTGGAGCCGATCTCAAAGCTACAGTCCTGTCAAAATAAGCATTCTTTGCTTATACTCCCTAGTAATGGCGAATGCTAAGTTGATTTTGGGAAATCGGTGATGTCATTCTGAACTAGCGGTACGGCTTTCATCATGACAGCGTATAAAGCTTTGCTGGCCGATATCATGAGTTGATCGGTTAGGCAGGCGCGGCTATCCTTCGCCGTATTCATGGGCTTCCAAGCGGCCTTCGATTTTGCGCCGGAAAACGTTGATCTGATGTTCCTAGCAGACGAAAGGGTTGTACAAAAATTCTCAAGCTTTTAGGAAAACCGGATAATGATAGACGATGGAGTGATAGAACTCTCGTCCTTCCTTCAAACTATAAGGCTCGTATCGAGATATAACCTCGGCCCTTCATTGTTCTAGACGCCTCCGAAGAATACAGCTAGTATCCAAAGCTTCCAAATGAAGGTACTTTTGTACGCCGACGACGTACTTATCCTTGGGAGCAGCCGTTTCCAAGTTTAGCAAGCGTTAGCTGGATTGCATGTAGTTTCAATAGAGCGTGGGGCTGAAGTAAAGAGAAAACGGCTGACTGCCTTCCAAATGTGTTTTCGAGTCTCGTTTACGTGAACAGTTTCTTCAACCTAGGGCTACTTCTTTCGTTCCACATTCCGTCGCACGCCACGAATAAGTGCGGAGAGATTATGGTACCGATAGTCGCCAATAGCAATCTCCATCTTCTTCCGGTCATCACCGCCCTGCGGATATTGTACATAAAAATAACTCTAATGGCTACCCACAGCATGCAGTTTTATACAGGAGGACCTCTATGGAAGATGGACATTGAGCCGCCAAATCAGCCTCAAAACTACGCTTATTAAGCGTATTCTCGGACCCTATCGCACGGCACTAAAATCAGTAGTTAGGCTTCATACTACGACACGCCTGTTCATCGGGAACTTCAAATAAGTTGCGATTTACTGCCTACTGCTTTCCTTAACGGACGCTTCAATTTGCGAGAGCATGTTTTTGAAAGTACGTGTAGAATGCAACGAATTAGAAGCTATGCGAAACCGTTCGTTCGTGAGACGAAACAGCTCACATCGCCGTCTTGTAACCCTGTTATATTGCCATGTATAGATTTGATCATACCATTACGAAGTTTTATGAATCAGTTTCTTCACTTATTGCGTACATGTATCATCAGATGCGGAAAGCAATGTGACGGATCGTACATCTGTCGATGTCTCCATGCGATTTCGCCATAACAGTTAGCATCTTAGCCATTCCGTAATATATAATGCTTCTGCTTTCCCAGAAGCCATTCCGTAATATATAATGCTTCTGCTTTCCCAGAAGCCATTCCGTAATATATAATGCTTCTGCTTTCCCAGAAGCCATTCCGTAATATATAATGCTTCTGCTTTCCCAGAAGCCATCCGTAATATATAATGCTTCTGCTTTCCCAGAAGCCATTCCGTAATATATAATGCTTCTGCTTTCCCAGAAGCCATTCCGTAATATATAATGCTTCTGCTTTCCCAGAAGCCATTCCGTAATATATAATGCTTCTGCTTTCCCAGAAGCCATTCCGTAATATATAATGCTTCTGCTTTCCCAGAAGCCATTCCGTAATATATAATGCTTCTGCTTTCCCAGAAGCCATTCCGTAATATATAATGCTTCTGCTTTCCCAGAAGCCATTCCGTAATATATAATGCTTCTGCTTTCCCAGAAGCCATTCCGTAATATATAATGCTTCTGCTTTCCCAGAGTTGTTTAAACTAATATGGAATGCTATTGTGTAGTCGTTTTTATGCTGTATCTGACAAATGTAAATACACTTTATTTAACAGCATATAGATTAATTAATCGCCAAAATTTAGAATTCGTGCTATAACTCCATTCAGTCCTCTATGTTTCGAGTTTTACGTCCAGTATTGGCGTTAGACATTCGTTTCGTGCTGGAAACCGGCCGTATGATGGAATGGACGGATACGGAATGTAGATGGTAACTCCACTCAATCCAGAGTGCGGTAAGCGTCTCCCAGATTGAGCATGCTCGTGGAAAAGAAATTCTCGAAGTGCCTACAGACAAGCTTTAAAAACGATCAAATTAGGTAGTTAACAAGATTCACAGATGATATGTCGGCGCCGTGCGTATGAAGACTGCCTGCCAGTGAAAGTGATTTTTAACCTTTAGGAGACGCCTTCAATGGGTAAAACGCTCTCAACGATGTGCAAGATAATCGTGTTCATGCTAATTAGGGAACATGTATGTACGGGCCAGGTGACAGTGTGATTTCCAGCTTCAATGAAAATATTTTCCGGGAAAAACTGCCAGGCTCGTTCGTTCGGGTTTGCAGAATCCGAAGTCTCGAGACGATAATTTTAGGTTGCGATAGCTGAAAGAAACCATCAGATTAATTCTATTTTTATATTCGTTACTGTCGGTAAGCATAGCACACAACGAAATGTGCCTAGAACCCCGCTCGAACGGAACCCACCTTACGTGTGTTTAAGCTTCGTAGTCAAACATCATTTACTATTACACCATTAGAAGCAGATCATCAGGCGTATCTGTAACCTCACGAATGTAATCCGAAAATTCGTCTCAAGATATATAAAGGGCGTAAGACATAAAGGGCGGTAGTTTGAAACCTAAAAGCTCACCTGAGGCGTGACAGATGTAAATTTGCACATTGTGTTTATAACCTCCTAAAAGTAAACTATCATATTGTGCTTTCCGCTATAATTCCCAGCTAGATAACTCCTTTCTAAATTATTCCGACGTATTCTGACATCTGCCAAAATCGATAACTCTACTAAATGCAGTAGTTACAGACGTAGTTCGCATATTTGTAAAATCAATTATTGGAACTAGGTGTCTTCGACGTTCTTCGCCAGACATACCCAATATGCCGCTTTTTCCGATTTTCAAATAGAATTATCAGCTATCAGAGATACTGTGATTTATCTGCGGCCGAAACATAGTCCTGAGTCATACCATAGTTATGAGCGGAAATGGACGGAAACGTACAAATCAGACCGGGATTAGCCGTCAAAATTAAAAATTATCAGTATTGACGCTATATACTAAACCAAGCAAAATGTATGTAAAGATAAATAGAGATAAACATAAAATGACAATCATTCAATTTCCTGTTTGGTTGTAGCAAAGCAATGCGGCAATGGTATATGGAATTGCAGCCACTTAATCGGGAATTGGTGCAATCTCACAAGATCCGCAATCAAAGCCATGAACAGCTACAAGTTCAGCTGAAAGAACTCCATCGGATATTGCAACGAGCAGCTCGACTTCGCGTTGGGCAATTCAAAGGTCGCTGCGTAACCGCCTGCAGGGCAGCTCTAAAGACAACGAATCCCGCCGCAGGTGCAAAAGTTCTCCTAAAAATCATTGCCGTTGGGGAGTGACGTAAAAATTTATTCCGTTGTATAACAGAGTGTCAGTGTTCAATAGGTAACTAGAGCTATATTAATAATCGAATGATACGAAGAGTGTAAACGTTTGAAGCGTTGGATAGGTTATAGAACAGGAGAAAGGGCTTATGTGTTTTTCTTAATATCCTATCCATGTCTGGTTTCTAAGTATACGCTGTACAGTACTATGAAAGCTCTTGTAGCCAGCAAACAGGGAAATATTATCAATCCTGAGTCTAGAAGATATCCAAACCGTGATGAGCTTGTCGATTCTGTGAAGTGAGCGGGTTATGTTCAGAGTGAAAGTCATATTAATGTTAAACGCAATTCGCTAACCACCAACGATATTTTAGACATACTGAAACATTCAATACGTCTGGATGTGTTGACTACGACCACCTATTGTAAATAAAATAAAACGATGTTATCAACTGTCACCGAGCTGAAAGTCACAGTGGACATTTTAGTAACACTGTAACACTACTACGAACAAGAAACTAACACATATTAACTGAAAAAGTCAAGATACTTTTGTAACTCTTGCAAAGCTAACTACGACAGAGATCAACAGACATATCAACCCCACGTCAGCGAAGCTCTGCGCGACTCTCGACGACCCTTTAACAAACAGTAGGAGTCGGCAGTATGCGTAAAATCATAACGTATTTAGACATAAGGGCAAAAAAGGTAAACGTTGAACGCTACCAGATCAGTCTCGTAACAATTTGCGGGGACATCTATGCAAAACTGGTGCCAGGGTTTACAAAGCGTACTATTTCCAACCAGCAATGGGTTACTTTGGCAACTGTCCCTATTCCGTTTCCCTATTTAAGGTCGATAAGTGCTTGCGTCCGATCCCGGGAAGAAGGCCGCCACAACTTGAACGAATGAACATTTGAAAAGCCTTGTGACCAGCTGTCTTCATCTCAGGAAAGTTCAGCCTCGATTTTTTAATCAATTCTCAGTTATCATTACCTTTCGAATTCCATCAATAATAGCTCCGATGGATCCCATGAGTCGGTTCGCCCTAACATGCCAGCTATACCCAGTTATTGGGATTGAGGAAAAGTTCTGACCACGACTGGACTCGTTTGATATGAGATAAGTACGAATTGTGTTGGCTCGTTCCGAAACTCGACCCTGACCCCAACCTATTTAGTTTATTCTTCAATGCCGACCACTTGTATATTATTAAACGCCACTTGTTTTACTGAAATGCTGCCAACGATTCTGTAGGGGATTGTACGGAACTTCTGTTTCGACTGAAGCTTCTTGAGTTATTGTGACATGAGATATGATGATAACCTCTATAATGCTAAACTTTTTTTTGGCAGACTGCTAGACTGTATACTTCCACGAATACCTCTTCGGCCGCGTCGGCAACGCCGCATATTTGCTAATATCTAAATTCCACTATTTGATATGGCAGCCTCAGATTGTATCGCTAACGATTTCTTCGGATGGCCGCGGTTTTTTGCGCGATTATGATATGCAGAATACTGTCTAGTACTTTCATGGTAATTTGTGCTTATAACGTACTGTAATTTTTGGAAAAATCAATTGCAAAATTGGCAATTTTATCGCTACCATAAACCTTCACTATATTGGCTTTTTAAGATTGGTTATTATAACCGAAAACAAAGTAGATATAAAATGTCAAAAGAATTATAAAAAAAATTACAAATAAATAATTAACCAATACGCGCTATTTACACATTTGGATTATATTGCTTCTCTTTTTCGTGTAGTATATATCATTGGTGGGACTTGAGTGCTCTGGGTTCATTTATATTTGGGTTATAATTCCAGAAGATGAAGCGTCTGCTCTAAACCCTATAATAAACTTTGTAAATAACAGCTCCGCTCACTTTAGCGATCGTGAGCCGATGCTTTACAGTTTATACGATGTTAACGTCTAATACCGAATGCCCTACCTACAGGTTACGAAAACCGGATCAGCTATATATATATATATATATATATATATATCCCTATCCAGCTACGTATATCCGTTTTATAAATCGAATAATTAGTATTTAATGCCGTTCGATTCATAATCATCGGAGCAGCTGTCCGTTGATTGATGTATAGCGATATTTCGTGCGAACAACGTGTCGCGGGTTTGAGTTCCACCAAGTTTATAATGACAGTTCCATATCTAACTTCGCATACATAACATAATTAAACGCTTCACTTATGTGCAGCTAAACAAGGCTAGAAACCCTCAGTTCTACTAGCGGCAATATGGCACTTAAAAGAGAGCTTGTTGTTAAAATTGCTAAGATCCCTAACTACCTCACCCGCAGCTGTGTATAACGAATTGTCACTGCGGTCACCCGTGCTGCAATTTCTTTTTTACGTTAGCTGGGCCGAAAATCGTTCAGAGAAAAAAAATTGGAAAATGCAGCACACAGGAAATTATGAAAAATGATACCTAGAAGGCTTCAAGAAATGTATTTTATAAAAGGTCTTGGTTCACAAAATAAATCACCAGGACCTCGTAAAACTAATTAGAGAGATGTCTCTACATAAAAAGGCCCCGAACGCCTGTCTTAAAGAAGAACAAAAGCGCTATCAAATATAGAGCCTTTTTACAAAAATACCTTCCTGTCTATATATATATATATAGCTAGATAGATATAGATATATAGATACGATATCTATTTTCTGAGATTTTTGCAAACAATGTTTCAGCCACAAAACGATTCAAATAGTTTGTCATCGTTAAATCGTATCGGTAAGTATGGGAATTATAAAGCGTTATTCGTATATCCTGCTTGTTTCTATTACCGAAAATAATATTTCCTATATGACAAATAAGACGATAACATGCTTTAGTATGATAGTAATTATATTTTTGGTTGGTTTTTTATGTTGACACATCAGTCGAGAGGCTTTGCTCGTCCCGTTAACAACGAATCATGCGGCAATAGTGCGTAAGATCGACCGGATCGGTATCCGAATCTGAAGATAAAATAGATGATGCATTTCTCACATCGCAAGTTGAAGTCATTCAGATCCTTTCTTATTGCTTGTACTTTTCAACTTTGTCTTATTCGCATTGAAGTGATACTGAGGTAGAGGGCACGAATGAGTGTGAATTGTTCTCTCACAGATCATTGGGATACATTTTGGCGGGCTTTTTGGCGGGCTTGTTGGCGGGCAAATTGCTAATTGCCCGAGGTCGGCATTTTACGCTTTTGCCAAACTCGATGCAGTATTAAAGGTATCAGAAAAAGTATTAGATTGATAGTAACTATAAATTCATCGAAAGCGCCATTAGTTATAATGTTGGATAATTTTCATGTTGAAATTAGAAGATACTTTTGCGAGAAGAGCATCTATTAGCAGCCGAGTGGTCCACATAAACCTAAAAAGTTAATCCCTTGTTAGATGTTTTTGCTTCTCGTTGGAACTTTTAATCTTTTTTTGAATTATTTATCTTTGATTTGCCATCAGCCTATCGTTGTGTCTGACGTGTTTGAGCGAAACACGTGTATTGTGATTTAAGCTATAATCTTCCAATGTAACACGTATCGCTCCCGGTTCTTAAAAACTATTCGAAATTGGAAACAACGAAAAAAAAAACATCGAACATCGAGACGAATTTCAGTTAGATATCTGTTATCACTAAGATGCGGCTAACAAGCGCATAATATCAATTTCGTTCCAATTTGCCCCGAACATCATATATACATGTTCACGACCCAGTTTGTCGATGATGAAATGTCGAACGATTCAAGTACCGGATGTAGGATACGAATAAAAGGTGTAAAAATGGGTACAACTTTTCTTCTGTACTGTCAATGCTGCACTAGGCTTTTAGCGGGCATTCTGGGACACGGAAATTTTAAGCCTATCAGACAAAATGCCTTCACTGTAGCCCTAGATGAATTCGCCGAAGCGAATCTGCTGTGCTCTAAATAGTAAGATCCTATGGACCGCGTCCACGACCTGCACACCGAGAGTACGGTCATACTGGTTAGTGTGAACTATATCATACAACATACTATATTGTTGTTGGTATATAACTTGAAATCGGTTTGGCTGTAGTCGGAAAAGGTTTTTTCTTCATAACAAAAAAACAAACTAAATCGTGTGATGAGTAAACTTAAGCTGAATTTTTAGTACGGGTTTGACGAGTGCTGTTTTTGCGGTTCGTATAGTATCGGCATGTAAAAGTGGGCTTAGGTGCCTTTATGCGGAACACTCTTTTCTACGTTTACTTTCTCTTTAGAGTTCTGGTTAAGTTTCTAAACAACTATGTGTGTACGAATGGAAAAGGAAAGAGGGTCTATCATCCTGTCTTGCCTGTATCTTATTTACAGATCCTAGACAAACGATGTGGCGTTACTTGAGTGGAGGCCGACCCTGCTTAGCTGAGTGAGGCCTTTTGTCGTTTGGATACACGTTATGATGGATACGTTAATATGCAGGAGATGAAAAAAGGTGCCAGGGAGATGCATTTGAACAGGAAGCATACCCCTGTAATCATGAAAGCAGCCGACACTTATAAATCCGCGCGAGTTGACCATTAAGAATGCTCGAAGATCATCAAATACGATGATCAAACGCATACAAAAACGCTTTCATCGAAATCATCTTTTAAAAATTAACATTTTTGCCTATCTTGTTATCGAAACTAATCGAATCCTATAGCTACTGTTCTCGTTTACCCTTCAAAAGCTTTTATTTTAAAAGTCTCTTCATCATAAATCTTTTGTTTGGAAGGCTTTAGCTTGGCGTAATACCTTTGTAATTATTCTTAACTGGCTTGTAAGTCCTTTTAAAAATTTCGTGTTAATATTGGCCTTCTGAACGAACAGTCATGGGCTGATGTTATCAGTGCGGGGAGGGGGGCTAATTTCGAAGCTAAACTGCCCCCGTCAATACACTCCTGAATCTGCACTTTGGCATTTTAAGATAGACGCATTCAGTCATATACATGGCTTCCATTTAAAAAAATCTAAAGTCCGATTTTCCACGCAAAGTCTTATTTAACAGATAAATATAAAACTACAGAAATTATCGTAATTTATTTATGCGTATGCAAGTCGAATGAAGTGTAGTGAAATAAGGCTGTGACTGTGAAAGCTTAAAGTTTTGCATAATGTACTTAGGAAATTTCGACTTCAGAGTCAGTCCCTCATATCTTCAAGACACGTACCAATCGCTTCTACAGGTTTTGATTAAAGGGTAAAGCAGCCAGTTGCGTTTTATAGAATGAATGTTTTTACCCATTTTGAGGAATAACGTGCACACGTACTTTACGCATCGTACAGGTGTAAACATACTATTAGATGCAGGACTTATATTGACGCTTCTCCTAGCTTGTGTGAGCCTGATGTAGAAATTTCTACAGTGAGGACACACCGTTCGATTACTGTTAGTTCAATTGCTTAGTAAATCTCATGCAATTTAATGCTTAGAATATGAGCTAGCCTTCATACTCGCGGCAGTTTCGGTGGTCGTAAAACGCTACTGATTCTCGCCTTTTTGTAAGATGCGTTTTCTTCACAAATCGTTGCATGAACGTAAAAAACAACTCCATTGGTGCTCATTTGAGAGCGTAATTAGCCGTTTTAAGTTTATTCTGCACATACGACGTGATGGCAAAGCTGCGTGCTAGCTAAAGGATAATAGACTTATCCTGTAAATGAATATCCTTTATATTACGCTATTTACCACATACATACAGAAGTAAAACTGACGAGTATCATATATTATTGAAGATACCCAGTAGGTATAAAGGCCACAGAGTCACCGTTGTTATCTGCTGGAGTGAAGCTAACGTTCCATCCATCGATGCGCACAACAAGGTAGTCTCCCATATTAAGGTCCAAGTCGAGGCGGCAATGGCATCTGCGCTGTTCCAACTGTATTCGCGAGCGGCCTTCAATTTGAATCCAAATTCCTACCGAACCGCCAGCAAAGTCTAAGATCTTCGGTTTTGCACTGAGGAATCGTCGAGATAAGGCTACCCAGCTGTAGCCGGTAAGCTCAACAGCTGCAGGAATACGATCAGGCCTATGATAAAAACGTCGCATCAGTTTTTTTGACTCCTCATTGCAGTTTTCCCAAAGAGCATAGAACGACTCCATGGACGTTGTCTGCTCGAGGAACCGATCAAAAGTCCACGGTGTATTTGAACGGAATGCGCACACTTTTGCCGAAAGGTTGTCCTGTATCGTTCGAATGACATTTTCAAGCTGTACACCTGACGCGTGTTCAATATAGCCACCACGCACAACCACTGGGATACGTGTATCGAGGAAATGCTCGTAAAGTCTTGTCGACGAAACATTATACGATACTTCTGGTACAGCTGTTAGGTCTTCACAGGCGAGGCACTCTTTAGGTGAAGGAGGTGGGGTTATATACCAGGGGTTTGCTATGGCACAGCTACGTCTGTTTAGTACTGTCCAATCATAAAACGACAGTAGGGCAATGAGGAACTTGCGGCCAATGAAATAAAGCAGGTTTGGGTCGAAAATATAATACGCGCAAGCAGCAATCCCCATAAACACGGCGCCAAAACACCATAGCCGATACTGAAGGATGCGGGTAAGCTCCATATTGTGAGAACGACGGAATGCAACTGAGCACGACGGAAGCTTGTTAGTTTTGGCCAATATAATTTTTTTGCTACAGCAAGATAGGGCATGCTCGAAAGTTGACTCAAGCCGGTCTTGTGTATTCTGAGCATTAGAGGAATTAGGAAGGATCCGTGCAAATGAATCATGTCTGTAAGAGTCAACACTGAAATCCGCCGAAAGCGACTTGCACGAAAATCTACCGCTAAATGATCTAAATAAAACCTACGTATCTAATTAGCATCTTTATAGTACTAGCTGAATAACTAAGTAAATAAACTCTGTAGACCAATTATATTGTTGTTTCTTATGTCATATTATCTATCCTAGAGTATGAACTTTCATTACTCAAAGGTAAAATTAGATTACGTCTATCAAGGTTTTTCAGTGTCTTCAAACACGAACTGGAAGGCTATATATAGTCCGAACTCTGACCCTAAGTCATATTTAAAAACTAAAGATAGGCAATTTGCGGCCTGCATGCTAACCTAACCTTATTGTCGTTGTCCATAGTCGAAACTATCTGTCAATACCTACAATCTATGTCCAGAATATCTTTAAAAACCGGTACGGTAAAAACGCTTTTTTTAAATCTGCATAAAATTATTACATACAGTAGCAACTATCTATTGTTCAACAATAAAAGTAACTATTTAGAACCTTTTTTACTGATTAGGTAAAAATAAGGCAAAAACTGAATTTATTTTGACATAAATACATTTATTGCTGTCGGTATATATTTTACATTTGAATAGATTTTGATATCAATAGCACATTTTATCTTTCATTCACCTCTTTAGCCTTATTTAGGCCTCTCGTTCATCTTTCGTCACCGTTTCAAATTCATCTGTATTATCTTCATTAATATACTTATTGTCATACTTTTTACTACTAAGCAATTTGAATACAAGGAATACATAAATTGTAGTCATCTCACTCTCTGAATCATTAATTATCCAATTATATCAACCACCATACAGATTCTCTCTCTTCTCTCTCTCTCTCTCTATATATATATATATATATATATATGTATATATGTGTGTATATATATATTTAACCTCCTATCATCCTTGCACACAGTCTGCATGGGATCGTCATATATTAGTTTTCTTTGATTCTTCTCACAAGCAACATCTCATTTGTAATGGTCGTAGTAAAAAATCTATATCATAATAAAAAAAAAAAAGCCAACCTCGTAGGCCTGGAAAGAAACAGCAGGCCAGCCAAAGGTGGATATTAAGGGACTGTGATGAATATCGATCGTCCTTTTAGTCATCAGTCAATTAAGATCGATTTATCGTAACGCAGTAACTCAATCATAAATATGTTCGGTCATCATCATTGAATCTTTCTGACACTCATCCGAGTGTAGCAGAACTCTGGTAACTAGTTCTAATGGTTTCGGATCAATGGGCGATTTACGTTGTTTTTACGTGTCTGCGCGCAGCGGTGGGTGTCGTCGTATTGCACCAGCTTTGATGATTTGATCTCGTTGATACTTACTATTATACGTTTCCCTATAAAGTTTACAGTCTTGAATCAACGAACCG